GCACACTGGTTTTGCTCTTGATCACCTTGTTCCCCAGCAATAGAGAGGCTCAGCAGCAAACATGAAAAAACCCCACTCATTAAGGTCCAGGCAAAAGCTTTAGTTCTGATAACAAAGGTTGGGAGTGTGGTTACAAGCCCAACAAATCATAAAAAGTGGATCAACAAGATACTTGAGAAGACGATCGTCACCCCTTCCTTGTTGTTTAACTGCACGCCAGCTGCAGGCTTGTTGTGCTACACTGGTCTTCGGCCAGCTCTTATCTGGCTAGTAGTTGCTGGGGAGTAACCCCATCACAGGCCCGCAGTACAGCCCATTTCCCTTCCTTTATCTACCTGCTTTTACTGGGTGTTTTCTAAGGCACTGTATTTTGTACTGGCGTCTCAGATGCCCTGAGAAGTTTTTAAGCTCTATAGTATTTTGCATATTATCATAAGAAGTTGTACATGGGCCATTCGTAACACATTCACTCTTAGCTTTAGAAGGAGCCTTCTCTAGACACAGTAACAGAAGAGATAATAGTAATCCTAGAGCAAAAGATTTTAGTAGACTTACATTTCAAGCTTAAGGTACTCCCCACCCCAGGTTCTTTCCATCTGGGGGTTCGTGGCTCACACAGTGTCCATCTTCTGCCCTGAACTCATCTCAGAGTCAGGACAAAGAGCGGGTACTTGTCATCAGAGCGGTTACTTGTCATCACAACTGTTTTGGTTGTCATCCTAGTTTATTAGCAACAACTAAGTCAAACATGATTTGTTTGCACAGAGGAGCTGAGTTCAGCTGCAGAACCCGTACTTCTGCAGTTCATGCTATGCACTACCTGGTACTCTTGGTGTCGCGGGGACATCAAGCATAAAGCCATGGTGCATTTTGGCAGTATCCATCTTGTGACAGAGAAGGTCTTGCAGAGCATTGCCTCTGTTGGGATATTCAACATACAGATCAGTGAGCCCTAGCATTGTGCAGTCTAATCAGATAACAGTTTGTGCCTCTTGGACCTGCAACTTTTCAACAGCAAGAAAATATGTCAATACCCTATAATACTTTATACTATTACACTTCTTTAAAACTGTTAATATAAGCATATCTACTTATGAGCATCTACACATTGTCCTTTTACACTTTAAAATGAAACATCTGAAACAATGAAACATCCTAGAAAATAAGCATGTAGACGTATGTATGGCCTTTTATTTTTTAAATAGCCCTGAATTTTCTGAGGTTGCCTTTTCTCGTCCTGTGCTTCGACGCTTGCCTGTGTCTCTCCAGCAGCTTGCGGCCCACCCACACTCACTTTCATATCGCCTGCTATACCGTGCTGCCTCTCTGCGTTGGATATACAAAGGAAGCCGAGAGCAAATCCTTTCCCACCGGAGGGAGGCAGACATGAAGGTGTCTGGAGAGCCGCGAGCGCGGGCACCACTGCAGCACGCCCTTTGCACCTGCGTCGACCCGCCCCTGCGCATGGAAACTGGTGTTCATGCCAGAAAGGGAGCTGCAGGGAGCTGGAGAAAAGGCTTTAATTAAAAATGGCTCCTGCCCTTTCAGCCCCTCTGCCTTTTTTTTTTGTCCCCACTTTATCAGTTATTACCAGTTAATGTTTCATTTTCTGTTGTTGGCTAACTGAAGCTAAGAAGCACCTTGTAGACAGCAACTGTCAATTAGTTATGATGAAAGCAGAAATTTAGCTTCCATCTTGCCTACATTTAGTGGGTTATAGCAGGACATTAATTCAATTGCTTTCTTATCTTCTGAACTAATCTCGTTGCCTCCATTTGTGGCTGCCAGGCACTTGGGGGGTGAGCAGGTCCTGCCTTCCCCATCCCTCTCTCCCTCCCTCCCTCTGAGAAGGACCTGCAGCTGGGAGGAAGAAACCTGTATCTATCTGGTGGATGGAGGAAAGGTGGCTAGTTATAGCGGAGGAAATATAGGGAGGAAAAGAGAGGTGGGTAGCGAAGAGGGGGAAAAAGAGAAAAAACAACATGGAATAAAGAAAAAAGGAAGAAAGGAAAGAAGAGACTCTGGGGGAGGATCAGAAGAAATGAGAATGGGAATAGGTATAATGAAAAGCTTTCTACAAATATATATATATATATATATGTATTTCCATAAGCTTAAAATTCATTAACATCAATGGGAAATGTTTGAGAATAGCCTGCCTAACTCTAGATGCCTGTATCTGACTACACTCCCCTGATAATCAATAGGTGCTTCAAAGGGATGACTTGTTTCAGACTCCTACTTTTGGATGAGATGTGTTATGTCCTGGAAGTACCTCCTTCTCTCTGCAGGGACTCAGGGGAGGCACTCATATTGTAAACACCCACATTTGGTCAGGTGAACCCCTTGTCCTTCCTGATTTTGCTACCTTTATGTTAGATAGAGCCCAGCTGCAGCAGGACAAAGGGAAGGCTGTGGACAGGTACCCTGCACCCACCCTTGCTGACTTACCTAAGCCTTAGCAGCATCCCTTAGAAAAAGGCAGAAGCACTCAGGTGCAGCAGAAATGTTATCTTTTACATAAGATAGTAAAAGATGCCCTCAGCAACCGCTGTCTTAAAAGTAAATGTTAGAAGCGGGAAGAAAGAGGAAAATGTAGGGCTGCGGTTTCCGTGCAGCGGTGCCATCCTGTTCTTCCCTTCCCCCAGCCTTTTTCTTTGTTCTCAGATTAGGCATATGAAACTAGGTCATAGCTCTTTAGCCATACATCTTTGAAAAGTACTAGTCACTCTGTGAGCGTGACATAGCACCTCTGGGAGGTTTTGGGGGTTTCTTTTCATAGCGTAGAAAATCTGTTTTATTTGGGATTAGACTGTGTTTTAGCCATGTCCTGGGAGATGGCACTGCGAACGGCTCCCGTGTTGCTGGGGTAGGCAGCCCCTGGGCTTATCTGGACGCAGTGGACTGTCCTTATTTTCTTTCTGAAGAAGTTAGGCGCCGCACCGTAGCAGGGTTATGTAGTGTGGGGCTCCTTTGCAACACGGCTGCAGAGAAGCCACCCTTAACATCCTGTGGTGAGGCGGGGAAGTACAGCATCTGTGAGAGGCTGCCCACAGTCCTTGTCCGCCCAGGTCTGTAAGGACGAAGCACATCTGGACGGCTCGTGTGCTTCTGCCCCTGGTCGCCCTGTTTGCTCTCTCCCTGCTGGTATTGTTTACGGGCTGTGATGTAAAGCAGGGGAAATGGAGAGCGTGAACGCTAATCTCACCCTGAAAAGTGTCACTTGTCTGGTTTCCTTAGGTACAATTTGTGCTTATCATTCTTGTGCAAAAGTTAGCAGGGCACAGCTGGCTAAACAAACCCTGCCCAAATATGATTTCCGTGCTTACGACACAGAGTATTTAACCTTTCATGACCCCATCCCACCCAAACCAAAGGTCTATTTTTTGCATGCAGCCTTGCTTTTTTCTTTCAGACAAAAGGAAGAAAAAAGATTAAAAACCTTGCGAAACTTACTTCAGAAAGAGCTGAACTTAATCTCCAAGCTGAATTTATAACTCTTATTTCAGAATGTACTAGCCGCACATTGTACTTCATCTTCATGTATGTGAAGCCAAGAAATGGCACATTGTATATAAAAACAGGAAAATGCATTATTCATGTAATAATGCTGTATTTTCATATCTTCTGGTAAAAAAGTGGGCTGCCTACTAGTAGGCACGTGCACATCATGCTTTAAAATAATGATACAGGTTTTTTAATGCCTGTCTGCTGCTTTGCCCTGCCTGTCTCCTGTTCTAGCCAGCAAAAGCATGTTCCCCAGGGGAAGAGACCCTAAATGCCCTCAGCACAGCAGCTCACGTCCCTGCTTTATAAATCAGGCGCTTTAAGAAAGTATCTTTCAAATTCCTCTCAAATTCAGCAGGTTTTTGAGGTCAGACCTTTACCTTTCATCTTACACACCGAAGCTAAATCATGTTATGTCTAAAAAAACACACTTGCTCCAAATCTTAGAGGCAAATGCTATGTTCAAGTAACGGTTTTATTAAACTTTAAAAAAAAGTCTTTCTGGGAAGTGACAGGCAGAAAGAAGTTCCAAAACGCTAAGCACCTCTCCCTTCTTGCAATAACTCAGATCCTTCCATCCAACCTTCTTTAACTTGTGCTTCATCCCTCACCCTACTGAAGTGCTGATCATGTTCAAAAATGCTTCCAGAGAAGGTCAGTATTTGCTAATGCTAAAAGAGATTTTGTGCTAGGCACTAAGCCACACATGTCTTTTCACAGGCATTACAATTTTGCTTGTCACTGGAGATGGGGAAATAAACATCAGTGGTTTTATTCTGGATGCAGCTAACACATGCCACTGATGAAGAGTGTTGATGAAGAGTGCCTGTCAGCAAGGAGAGAGCTTCAGTCCTCTTGGTTTAGAGGTAGAAACAAAAGCAACAGGAAAGGAAGGATCCTTTAGTTTAAAGATCAAAAGTAATTAAACCAAAACCCAGCCATGCTGTGTTGCCTTTTCCTATTTGTGAAAGTATTCCCCATCCCACCAGTTTATTAAGTATCATCGTCCCTGTCCCCACATACACAAAGCAGCAGGCTGGGACCTTCATGTCCTCTGACTTATTTCTGCTGAAATAGGGAGGAGAGGGGACAGGAGGGAGGAGGTACCTGGGCTGGCCCTGGCAGGGCGGGAGCTGGAGATGGTGCAGCGCAGGAGGGGAAGGACTGCGAGGGGAAGGCTGCCTGGCCCTGTCTATCTATTTGGGTAGATAAAAACAGTGAAAAAAGCGGTTGTATGAGACACTGGGGAAGCAGTTTCTGAACCAGAAGCTGTGACACCCGAAGGAATGGTGACAGCTGGGAGTGATATCCTGAGCCTGAACAAAATCTGGTGCTTGACCTTGCTCCGGGAGCCCCAGTGCCCTCCCAGGGAGGTCTCGTATGGTGCCCAGGAGCGGTTGCAGCCCAGAAAGCAAAAAAATTTGGTACTTTGATGTGTTTGCTTAGGGATGATCATCTGAATGGTTTTATTTGTGCATTTGTCTTCTCTGCAGGCTGCTCTCAGAGCTCTCCACCTAAGCCTAGAAATTGTTGATGCATTTCACGATGTGGTTTCATATCTCCTGGCTTTTGCTCAATTAGGAAATTCTCCGAACTGCTTGCGTGCCTTAAACCCAGAGCTTCTGACCCCAGACTGGGGAGGGACCGACAGGATTGGTAAGTAACAAACACTGCGTGCTTAAGGCATATGGTTCCAGGTGCAAAGGAGTGTGAAATGATGATGTTGGGGAAGGGGCAAAGGGAGCATGAAGATGAGGTTGTTGTCAACTGAAGAATAAAGTCAAGACAAAATGACAGTCGTCTTATTTTTTTCTTTTTCCTGCTCCATTCTACTGATGGAAGACTGTCATGTTTCGGGAGCATGCCCACAGCATCACAGATCTGTCGCAATCTCACAGAAAAGCAACATACCTACCAGGCTCAGGAGGTCTGCTCCGGCAGGGAGCAGAGAACATGGTCCAAAAATTGCACTTCCGCCTCTAGCAAGTGTCTGTTAAGCCATCTGGTCATCCCATGATGAGTTTATTTTTACCAGTTCCTCTACTAAATCTGTCGCTTGATTCTTTTTCCAAAGGGTAAACCAGCTGAGGTGTGTGTGTTGTCCTGCATGAACACATCTTTGTGCAGAAATAGTACCTGGTTCCCTAATAGCTTTGACCTGTTGTTCATGTTAAACTGCACGGCAGGAGTGGGATGTGTCTACATTTCTTTTAATGGTTAGCAGTGAGGTATGTAGCTACTGGTATCTGACCACCAGTTCGGTAGCTCTGCTGTCACTGGACACCATTACGAAGACACCTCAGAGGAGTTGTTCATCCCAAGCTAAAATGTGTTCAAAGTGAGTGGAATGAAACCCTCTTTGGAGGTGCCTAAGATTGCAGGAACTGAATTAAACTCAATGCCTGATAATTAGGCAACTAAAGTCACATGAGATAATCCTGTCCCAAGTGCTGAAGTGCTCTTGGCATTTGGCTTTTCAGCCACTGGATTATTCCCACAGTACAGGGAGCTGGAGTTTCAAAACATGGCACGTTACGCATACCTCTTTCTCTGTGTTGTGTGTGCTGTGTGGCTGGACTGTTTTCATGCCACCTAGAAATGCCCACATTTATATATCTGTACATTTGGTGCTGCTGAGACACAACTCAGGAGTAAAAACTTTACCTGCACAGCTTCCCTTCTGTCCTGGCATCTTTTACAAAACGAAAAATTGATTATGATAATCCGGTAAAAAATTAAATTCTTCAAGAATTGGGGAAAAATACATAAAAGACTAGCTTTGCCTTTTAATGTCTCCAGATGTTATCCCTTATGTATTTTTCTTATGTGAGTAAGATTTTTACTATCAGTTCTGAATTTATCTTTCATTTCAAATTCAAAATTTAATTTTGGAAGGGAAGAAAGGACTCAGTGAATCATAAATACTTGTTACAGCTTTTATTTTAATACTGTGCTTGTGACTGTTTGATTTTGAAGTGGGTTTATTTTCCCTAACAAAAAGCACTGCCTGTTCCACGGTGTGCGCTCATTGTACCATCAAGTGCGTATTAGTAACTTCATTTGTATATGGCTGAGAAAGCTCATGTAAATGAGCATCTTTAATGAGCTTTGAAACAATCAAGAAGACTGAGCTCAGTGATCAGTGAGAAACCACATAACCAGATGTACGAGGAATATTATGTGCAATGTATTTCAATTTCAGACATATCTAATGTGTGCCTAGCTACCACACTTTTCAAACAGAAAATACAGACAGTGATGGAGTCCTCAGCACTCTGCTGTCTCTGTAACGCATTTTGAACAGACAATTTAACTCCATTGCTCCTGACCGAGAGATCTTTTGTGTTGCTGCTGCTGGGGTATAATTTCCCTCTCCCCCAAATCAGACCATTTAACTTCCTTAAATGAGGCAGCCCCTGCCGCCTGACAGAGAGAACATTGGGTTTCTCTAACAGGTGCTTCCAGGTTAAATCACTTCTGCAGTGGCTGCGTCTTGGGAGGCAGTCAAGCCCTGCGCACACATTTCCTACAAACACCAAGTAAGAGCAGGTGCTCTTGTAAGGGTAATGACTTGTAGAGGCCCATTGCTTTGAGAAGTTTTTTGCTAGGCTTAAAGGGAATAACAAAACTTTAGAGCAGAAAAATATTCATTAGCTTGCAGAATTGAGCCCCAATGGTATTGTATGGAAAGCAGTTGGAGAAGTTGTCCCTGTCATTCCCTAACAGGTAATAACTAGTTTAGGTCTTTGGATTAAGTAAAATGCCATCTCAGGACCTGATTCTGCTCCTGTCTGACAAATTCAATCTCAATATTTTCAGTTGGAAGGGACCTACAATGATCATCTAGTCCAACCATATAAGATGATAACAAGAAATATATACCACCGTTCTTGTTGGTATTTTATAATAATTGACTTTTTAATGAGAAAGGCTAATAAAAGAATCATTCTTTTGAGATGCTTGTAATTTTTCATTCCTATGCCTTTTTCTCCCTGACCTTACTACATCCTCATAATTCTTCACCTGCCATAATCTCTTTTCTTAAAGCCTGGTTTTGTAGTATTGAGGGGGATATAAACGCGTTCTTTGTCCCAGGGGAAAAAGGAAGAAAGTCATGAAGTACAAAACTCCTAGAGGAAAAAAAGAGTTTACTGAACTGAGATATTTTTATGTGCGTTTCCTGAGACCTTATCTGATAAACTTACTTTTCTTGGGACTCCAGAGAGTGAACTTCAAGAGATACAGAAAATGATTGACAGCCTCCAGAATCCAGTGGATCGCAGCGAAGTAGCCCAGCTGCTAGCCCTTCACAGAGAAGTGATCTTTCTACAGTTCGATGCAGCAATTAGGCATCGACTACAGTAGGAATTACAGCCTGTCAGGGATGGGACTGGCACCTTTTACATAAAGAGGCTTTTTTTTTTGTTCACAAAGAAAGAAAAAAATGTAGGAAAGATGAATTTAAATTTTGTCCATGGTATCTGCTCCAAGATCATGAAATGTGCCCTGTAAGTGTAGAAATTTTCCTTTCACTAAAAGTGGTGGGAGTCCTTACATGCTTCGTTGAGGGATCTCAACACACCATGTCTGAGTGCAGCTGTCCTATTATCTGAGCATTTATGTTGTGATTCATAGGTTACCAAATCAGGGAGGCTGGCGGCTGCTACAGAGGTAGACTTATGAGTTCATGTTCTTGTTTTGCTGCAGGATCTAAATTTAATTTTATGTTTTCCTCTATCAAAGAATGCTTAATAAGCAGGCACAGGACTTACCTGCTTATACTGAGATCTAGGTTTCCCCTCCTGTAAAATGTTGTTATCTACCCCACCACAGAAACCCAACTAAGATATACTTTTCAGGACTTTCTAAAAAGTAATTGTCTTCCTTTTCTCCCTGCTCTCCTCCCATATGTTGTCTGTCAATAATGGTCACGGAGAGGTCTGAATGTACTCAACGGAATAACCTTGGCAGAACCAAAACAAGGGCAGGACATGCAAAAGTAAAGGAAATTTCAACTCTCCTCCCCTCTGTAGATGCCATGTGGTGGCACGATGTAAGACTAAATTTGTAGGTGTAGCCTGCGTGCGGCAGGCGGGCTAGGGAGTCTACTAGAAGAGAAACAACTCCTGGACTTGGTTTTGAGTAACATGCAGGACCGAGTTCAAAATGCTGCAGTTAAAGACCTGTTCTCTAAGAGCAGCCATGATGTGCTTGCATAAAACATCCTTGAAGGAACAGTGAAAGCCAAATAAATATCACCATAGCTGAGCTCAGTTTCAAAATGGGAAACTGCATAAAAATGAGAATACTTGCTGAAAAAAAAGCCTAAAAGGATTAGCCAGAGGAGTTAAATCCTTGCAGATGGTATGGAGACTTTTTGGGAACATCCTGGAGGCACTCAAGAAATGCATACCACATGTGAAGAAACACTTAAGAAAGGGTAAGACGATGCTGGCATGGCTAAACAGTAGCATTAAATAGATTATTAAAGCAAGAAGGCAAAAAAAGCTTCAAAAAGCTGAACTTTCATTCAAATGAAGAAAAGAGAAAGAACTATAAACTGTGACAAGATAAATGGAAAAGGATTCAAGACAGCCCAGCGAAGATTCTGAGGAACAATTTTGCTGAAGGCATCAAGACTAATAATAAATCTTGTTTCAAATATACCAGGAGCAGGAAACCTGCCAGAGAGTCTGTAGGGCCAGTAGGTGATCAGGAGTGTTCAGCGAAGATAAGTCAATAGCACACATTTTAAAAAATGATTTGTTTGTTTCTGCATTCTCTGTGTAAGAACCTGAGGAGGTTCCCACACCAAAACCTTGCTTTATGGGAGGTGCATCAGAGGAGCTGCTGCAATTGGAAATGTTGCCAGGGAAAGTTACGGGACAAGCGGACTGAAATGAAGATGAACAAGTTGCCAAGACCAGACAATGTTCAAGAATTCTGAAAGAACTCAAGGATTTTTTTTTTTTTTTAAAGAAGCCAAAGTACTAGTTATGGTGTATAGCTTCTTGCTTAACATTGCCTTGATACCCAAAGACTGGAAGTGGCTGATGGGTTGCCAGTTGTTAAAAAGGATTGCAAGGGTGATCTGGCTAATCACAGGCTGATAAACCCGATACCCATGGTGTTCAAATTAGCAGAAACTGTAATGAAGTGGATGCATGGACAAATATGATGTACTTGGGAAGAGTCAACACTGCTTTTGTATGGATTCCCTGAAAGCTTTAATAGCCTCAACAGAGTGTCTTAAGGAGTCTGAGCAGCCACTGGATGTTTGAGGGGATGGTCACATCTGTAAATAATTCATTGAGGTTGAGGAAGGAGAAGGCTATAAACGGGCAACTTTTGCAGTAGATAAGGGAGGTTACCAGTGGCTTCACACAGGAGTTTGAGCTTTCTCCTGTGCTGTTCAGGTGCTCACAGATGACATTGAAAAGGGACCGAAGCTGAGGTGATACAGTGTGTACATAATACTGTCATACCCAGGATACCAAGGGCAAGGACCTTACAAAACAGAGTGACTGCAAAATAAAACAGCAGATGGAGTTCAGTGTGTCAGTAAAATGATGCCCCTGGGGAAAAAAAAACAATCCCAATGTATAAAATGACAGCCTCTGACTTGACAGTTACCATGCAGTAATGAAATCTCAGAGTTATGACAGATAATTCTGTCAAAATTTCAGCTCAATAGCAATAAAAAAAAAAAAAAAAAGCAAAAAGCAAATTGATTCCCTTTAGAAGAGCCAAACTAAGAACACCACTACACCGCTGAATAAATCTGTGTTGTCAAGCCTATGCAGTTCTGGTCCCCACCTGAGGAAGGACAGAGAACTCGGAAAGGTTCCCAAAGGAGCCACATGTATGACGAAAGGTTGCTGGGTGGAACAAGTAGTACAGCTGGGGGAGAGCTCTGTAAAACCGTCAGTCAAAGGCAGGGGATAAACAAGGAGTGTCTGCTCATGGTCTTTTCCAGAGTAAGGTGCATCCCAGGTGAACACCAGGTAGCTGGCTCTGAACAAAAAAAAGCAGGCAGTTCTTGCACATGGCTTGTAATTAGGCCGTGGGATTTCTTGCTGCAGGATGCGGTGGGTGGTAAAAGTTCATAAGACTCTGAAGGAGAATGCACAGGCTTGTGGAAAACAAATCTACCAAGGGTTATTAAACATTTAGCCATCACCTCTGGCTGAGGAAATGCCTGAGCTACAAATTCTTGGAGGCTGTGAGAATATCTGTGGGAAATAGCAGCATATGCTTGTTCTCGAGATTTTTGTAATCTTCTCATGAATCCACTTTTGATCACTGTGGGAGACAGGACTCTGAGCTGGATGGACCTTTGCTCTAACCCAGTATGACCGCTCTTGTGCTATCCCGTAGAGTTGCGATAGTACGTATTTGTAGACTAAAGATTTTTCTGGAGACAAGAAGAAGATAAAACTACCTTGTGCTTTTATTTCTGTTTTTTCCTGATTAAAATACTGTAGGGGCAATTGGTGAGGGAAAGCTTTTCCTCGGATAAGGAATTGTTGTGTTAAGAGGAAGTAAGAAGAAACGCAGTATATCAGATGCTTCATCTTTCTTCTTCCTTATTGCCAGTGCAATTAATTTCCATTGTCTCCACACCAGGGCTTACAGTGAGACGCTAAATCACATTTAATCTCTTTTGAACTTCTTTGCCAAGTTCAATCCTGGAAGCTGTTATTTGTCCCTGTAATTCCTTTGTTAGTCCTGCAACTGATAGAAACCGCATGTCATTTTTAAAAGCGCTTGTGTGTGTTTGACAAAACGAAAAGGACAAGATCCTTCTCTTAGAGTTGCCATTCAAAGGAGGATGGTGCAGCTACAGCAAGAGTTGCAGTCTAGATTGTTTCTTATATTGCAAGTGCTGGTTGAACCAGGAGCTCTTTGTTTTAAAAGCATGTGAGTGAAGTACAGGAGAACTGAATGTGACAAAGAGGCTGCAATGAAATGACAAAGTTATGTCTAAATTTGGTTGGGTAATACATTTACATGATGCATAGAGCATAGTAAAAGGTAGCTTTATGTGTGTGATTGCACAGCACAATGCAATCCAAGCACGAGGAGCCAGCTGGCTCCCAGAAGCGCGATGCACCTTGGTGGAATAGCACTCTGCTGGTTCAGCTGGGCTCTGCTGTCACCTGCGTTGCTGTGTGAGACCAGGTCTCATGAAAATCTGTGGGGAGTGTTGTTGTGAAACCTAGCTCTAGACTCCGAGTATCCTATAATTTAGGTTCCAAAGCTTCACAAGCACTTCTGAAAACTTTGAAAAACTTTAGTAGCTCTCCTGCTTTGTATAGGAAATTATCCTAATATTAGGAATAGGAGGTAGCAGAGCTCCTGAATTATTATCCAGTCTATTAGCTACCCGAGCATCTCTCTGTTAGCATAGGCATATGTTTTGCTGTAAACGTCCCCAGTTAGATGCACTTTCGCACATGCATCTACATCATTAACATTTTTGCCTATTTGTTTTAACCATGATATCTGCTGCTGTCCCTATCACTCACCACCATGTTGGGCTATAATGAGGAGCTGGTAATGTTATTATAGACCATTTGGAGAATTTTGAAGTCATCTTACTTCTTTTTAATACAAACATTTTGGTTCCTTTTCAGGGAGGCTTTTTTGTCCTCAGGGAACGTTTCAGCCTACCAGAGTGTTACAGACAGGCTATACCATGCGCTGCCCCCATTGAGTAACTCTGTGATTCAGAGTGCTGTTGCTTCACAGCTAAGGCTCCCACAGCTTCTGGATCCTCAAAGTGGCAGGGTGAGTAAAGCGTACCCTCAGAGGCACTCTTCCTCCATTTGCACTGAGCTCCTTGGAGAACAAAGTCCTCTGCGGTTCTTGCTGGGGTGCTTACTCATTCCCTACCATGGTGCAAAGAACCTAACTGCTAATAGATAATTTTAAAAATTCCCATGATTACAGCTTATGAACTTGATTCACCATTAAGAATTCTAGAAAATGTTCTCTACAGAAGTGAATAATTTGAGATGGAATGTAATCACACTGATTTCACCAAAACGGAATTTTTCTGCATGATAGATGTTGGTGATTCTACTAACTTTCAGTTTTGGGTAATTACCCTTCTGAGCTCTCTCATCACCTGGCAGCAATTTTGATCGCCCAACATGTCTGCCATGGTTGTGTACAAGATGTTTAGGTCTAGTGGTTTCTTAGCTATAGCGTCACACAGTGTTACATAATGCCAAATCAGATACCTATGTGCTAAAGAGGCACCTTGGATGACACTGGCAAAAAAAGCTGGTGTCATGTTTGGGAAAGTAAAGATGAGTCTTGCTGGTGATATTACCATGTTCCAAGGTAAGAGGCAGTTTTAAATAATCATTCTAACTTCATGTTTCCTCATTTTCATCCCATCCTGCTAATAATCCAATATCAGATACTGTTGTTTCACCTTTAATAATGCCTTTCCCAAACAATGAGTTATAGCAATACAGCTTTCTGCCACCCTGCCTTGATTTAGGTGACAATGACACATAGGACCTCCTTAGTATAACTGAGAAACAGAATTTGCACTGGCATGCAAAATCTGTATGTCTTTGATGAATAAAGCGTCCCAATGCCTCTGAGATAGGAACAGCAATAAATGATTGACAGTAGGTAGGTAAGGAGCTGGGAGCTATTCTGTGGAGGCAGTTGTAGCACAGCATCTTGGTAGGAAATGTATTCTGGAATGAATCGTACTGCTTCTTTCCCAAGGAGTGATAATAGATGCTTCTCCCTTTTCTAGTACATGGCCTACTTTCCAAGTCAGAGCAGAATGTGTCACATATCAAATAGCAGCTTGGCCTCTGAGTTGCCTTTTCGTGATCAAATTAGATGGGACTCTCATAACTAATTGAATGTTGTTCTTATTTATGAACAGTCATCTCTATTCTTTTAGACAGTCATGCATTTTCCTTGGAGGACATTCCTAATGGATGGAGGATTGTTTCCAGTCACTATCAACAACACAATTAATATAAATTACAACATGCAGGTACAGTGAGACAGCAGCCTTGTGCTTATGTCCAAAGACATAAAGACAAGATGAATCTATGATGCAGGAGGAAAACAAACTAATAGTAACTTGTTTCCCATCTTTGTTTTTTAAAGAACAGAAGTGAACAAAAAACATCTCCCCCTTTTCTGTCCAAAAGCCCATTTTACCATTTACTTCACATTTGATCTTTCTTCAAGCAGAGCAGAGCATTTTTATTGATAATGAATCTATACTTGTCATTTTCCTGTTTGCTAGAACTAGAGGATCAAATAATTTTTATGCACGGGCATGTGTGTTTTAGGACCATGGTGCTAAAAGCTTGAAATCCATTTGTGTTTATAACACAAAAACCCCTGTGCTGACCCTTATCTGAGATTTGCTATTACCTGTTAAGCTGTGAGCAGCAGACCTTCAGAGACTCTGCCTTCCCCTCCAGCTGTGCCTGTGCAGCCTGAGCGATGCAGACCGAAGAGTTGCTCATGGGGAGCTGCTGGCAATGCAGTTTCTAATGGAGGATGTGCTGCAGAACAGCTACGGCTGTGCCGTGGAAGATCACGCTGACTCTCAAGCCTCGTTAGCTAAGAGCAAGCAGGTACCTCTGACAACTCAGTTGGTTTGGGACCGTACAGCTTCTATGCAGGACTCCCATTGGTTTTTGCAACCAAATCTCTGTGAACATAAGCGACCTAGACCTGAGGTACGCTGTAATAACCTCACCTGCTCCTGGCCGTCTGGTAAGAAGCAAAGGGAACAATGTTGTCTCCTGTACATGCTGAGTGCTGTTGAGAGAAGCCCTAGTGACAGGCCCTCAGGATCTGAGCTAAGAGTTCGATTTCTGTAACAGTACTTTTAGTTAGAGACCAAGCAGAGAGTGTTGCTGTTGAAGCGATTCACTTGAGGAAAGCAGCACTAAACCAAAGGATTTAACTTCTATGTAATTTTATCCCCATCTCTACCGTGTGTGAGTACTCACTGCAATCAAAACATAGCCTCCGTTTTCCCTGTACCATGCTCTGAAAGACACTGGTGTAAGGCCCCGTTGCAAGTTCTGATTGTACAGAAGCCTGTCGCGTGTCTTGTCCCACTGTATATTGCATGAGATGCTATTAAGCAAAGAAAAGCATGTGAAAAGCTTGTCATAGCTTTCTGAAGCAAAACATTTCCTTGTGACTTCCAGCAGAATTTGGCAGAAACGGTTGACTCAAGTGATAAGTGGTTGGAGAACAGCAAAAAGATGTGCAAACTCTTGCTGAGGCATCATGATCCGGTCATATCATGTAACTTGCTGAGGACTTTTCTGATACTATGGAAGCAACTAGAAATATTAAAGGCAGAATGGGGCTGGCTGAAGCTGAGGGTTGAGGATATCAACACAGTTCCTCTCTACAAAATGTTTTGTGAGCAATATGGGTAAGTTACCTTGAATGCAAGAATATTCCAGAGTGACTGAAAAGATAAAAAAATGACAAAAGTCTCTGCCTTCTCCATCCATTTTCCTCTCATCCCCCTCTTTCACTTGCCTTTTTTTTCTTATTTCTACCTTTCTTTATTTTTGTTTATAATTAACCTAGTACTTTTGCTTTTCTCTAAAGGCTTGAGAGCTACCTTTTGTTTCAGTACGGTTGTTTTTTCCCCTCTTTCAATGTCTATTCAGACCATTTGCTGATGATGTTTTCCAAATGCATTCTTCTCGGTCGTGTGACCCACCTCTGTATTTCAGGCTCCATAAACAATGTTAAATACAGTACTTGAATAAATGGAAATTTTGGAAGCCTGTTAGATGAATTGTAACAGAATTCTTCCTAACCCTCCTACTTGGCTCAACTTTGAGCAGTCAAGAATAGAAAATTGGAAAATTTCCATCAGAGAGGCCCTTCTGAAAGCAGAAAATGGAACATCGCTTTTTGAAAAGCCTTGTTCCCAGAAACCACAAGAAAGGAAGTGAAATAGCAAGATGACACAGTAAGGGTGAAATCTGTGCATGAGGGCACTGGAAAACGCCATTGTCATGCAACAGAGCACGGAGGAAGCAATGCTCAGTGGGCCTGGCCCCACAAGGCCAAGGCATTTTAGATTGACAAGTCTGAATCCGTCACAGAAAATTTGTATGTGTGTGTAAAGAGGTGGTATCATATTTGCTCCATTCTGGTCTCCATTTATCTGTACCCCAGTGTTACCTCCCATGCATTACCACCGGATCAGAGGGGGCACACTCCGATGCTGGGGGCCCACGGTCTTTGCCTCTAACTAATTTATAAACTCTGCTGAGGAAGCAGCTCCGGGGCAGAGCTGGACTGGGTTGCAGGTGGGCTGGGAGTCAGGGGCGCAAGTTCTCCGCACAGAGCAAGCAACAGCTTGAGCTTCCACCATGGGGCTGGGCAGCTGCGGGAGAGCCCCGGCCTCAGCGTCTCCCAGCCCCTCCGCACCCAGGAGGAGATTCTGTAGCGGCACCTGCAACAGCTTTTTGGTAGCAGGCAATCTGCCAAATGTACTGTACCCAAAATTCCCACCGTGTTTCCCTCCTCCAACGTCCCTATCCATCCCCTTCCATGGATGAGAGCTTCCTATTTCCCTTTCTGAGCTCTGTGCTAACCTTTGTGTCGTGCCATCAAGGGTTTAAAAGGCAGCGTGATTAAAGCAATAAAATGTAACGAGGTTTATATGCCTTGCTAATGGCTCCTCTGCTTCTAAGAGCAAAGTGCTGCCGGCCTTGCCGCTTAGCACTCAGAAGCACTTAGCAAACCCATGATCAGACACCAAGGAGAGCAGGGGGAGGAGGTAGAGGGAGTTTCTTGGTCTATCATCTGAACCACGGTGATAGACAAGTTCTCACCAGTGACCAGATCTCCCTGCTTTGTCTGTTTGACCCCTTGTTCCTTCCCCTTGGTTTTAGTTTCATATTATAAATTTGGAGAAATTACTGAACTCTGTAATAAGGCAGGACCAGTGAAGAAGAGACTGTCCTGCCCTGCTTGTAGGTCGAGTGGGGCTAATGCAGTGAGCTGAGACTTAATCATATCCTGCACGGGTTAGGAACAGGGGCAGGGGAAGAAAACAAAATGTTGAGGTCCAAGGTCAGTAAATGCAAACACAGTAATTTTGAGAGAGAATGTGTGAAATACCCATGTCTTGGTGATTCTACACAGATATCCTATACCCGGCCATGAAAGCCATAGTCAGACAAACGGGCACAGAGGAGGAGCTCGGAGAGCCCGTTACAAGCACTCAGCATGTACTTCCCCCCAGAGGAGCATCAGAAATGGAAATGAAAGTGTACCGGGTAAGGGGAGGGTTATTAGTGGGGCGTTGTGGGAGACCACACAGCATCATGCTTTCCTGCAGTTTCTGGTAAGTGAAGTCCAGTGGGTGGCCGTGGAGGCTGTCGAGGGGAGAAGCGTGGAAGATGTGGGTGACCCGGGAGGCTCTGCAATGGCACCTCTGCTGTGTGGAGCCTGGTGGGGGTCCTGGGACAGCCCAAATAAGAGGGCCTCTGCCTCCATCCAGAGTATTTGTGGCACAGCACTAGGCATGCAGTCACCCCCAAATTATATTAAACTTTACACTGTATCTGAAAGTACTGTATTTTAGAGAAGAATGGAAAGAGAATTGCTTTGGTTTAGTCTGCTGTTTTTTGCTAGTAGGCACGTTGCTTTATAAGCAGTATAGAGATTTAGTAAGAGCTAAGTATTAAACTTGATTCTAGCTTCAGAAGCTTCTGGAAAGCCTAGAAATCCACATGATCCATGATGTGCAGAAGAAAATTAACCAGGAGATGACTCTAGTGACATCTGAAAGAGTCAGGCAAGAGAGCAGTCTCCCCACTGGCAAGGAGAATTAAAATACCCTTCCTGGGCAATACAGGAGCCCCAGTCTTGAGAGGGAAAAGCAGCCTCAATGCATAAAGGTTGCAAGGAGTTGTCCTGCATATGAACAGGAGAGCACATTTACTCTCAGCTCCCCACCTCCCCGTGTGCACATTTGGAGGCCAGGGACCAGCTGAATCGTGGGGAAGGTATCACTGATGAAAAAGGGCTTACCCTCAGGAAACTCTCCTCTGTTTCAGAGAGCCATTGTGAAAAATTCCAGAAAGACATCTAGCAGGAAGCCATGAAGAATTGTGTACCGAGATACCATCGCCCTTCTGCATGGACCTATTCATTCTGTCTGTTCAACAGATTCACATTCCCTAAATCTGAGAGTTTACTTTCTCTTTATAAAGTGAATGTTTAGCCATAATCATTGCAGAGACAATTGTGCAAACAAGGCTGAACACTAATTTTTCCAGAGTTTGCAGGCAGCCTGAAACAGACTGATTGATAGGAAATGACTTCTCTACTCCTCTGTGTTGGAAAGTTAAGATTTTAGGCCTAGCAGTGCAATTTAAATGCCAGCCTTTTTAGTATATTAGGTGTTTACTTGGTACAATTTCTGCCTGGGTGTGGACAATTTGGGTATACACAGGCACAAATAGTAAAATGAAGAAAAAGTGGAAATAAAAGGGAAGAAAAATGTACCCTACTGGCACTGGTTGTGGTTGCAGGCAGCAATAATTAGTGCACAGAAATGTTCAATTTCACACAAAAGCCAGATTCTTTATTCAGTATTTACAGAAAACTCCAATACACAATTGTGGGCCAGGTCATTATGGGCAGAACTGGTCCATAATGAAATTGCATTTTGGCAATACCAGAACAAATTTGATATTGCTGCTCCACACAGGCTTTGCAATCTGTCTGCAATGACATTTACTTTTTGTTGTAAACATTTTAGGAAAGCTGAGAAACCCTAAGCTATATATAAAGCGTACCCAGTGTCAAATCCCAGGGATTACTGAAGGATCAATATTTTGTGACAGTGATACCCACTGATGTGGTTTTATTCCGGGTTGTTTTTTTTTTTTTTTCCTCCCTCTGTTCCTGCAGAGCTCTGTAAACACAGGGTAATGCAAGAAAATTTCTCAGTTGTACAACCACAGATAGTCAAAGCATTTGTTCAAAGGCTGATGGAAAACTACCAAGAATCAGATACAGAGGTACATATTCTGCATTTCTATCTAAGCAACAGCTAAATCATGTTTACAGCTTTATTTACGAAAGCTCTTGTCAATCAGTGACCTAAAAGAGAAACACATTTCTTAAGCTTATGAGCTTAGATTCAGATTAGGTTGGTTTGTAATAGCAGTGTTGGCAGCAAACTTGTCTATTGCCCTACTGCCTTCTGACAGGTTTATTTCAGCTCTCAGGACTGTAATAATGTGAAGATGAGTTAGGGCTGGAGGTTTATATGCAGCTGCAATGCAGGATTGCAGGACTTTATTCATGGATTCAGTAATGGGAACTCTTCTTCCTGAGTCATTGCTAAATCAGGGGTCCAGCACTATGTTAGGAAGCAGTTTTAGGGTTTTTTTCAGTGAAATTTAAAGAAACCGTTTATGAAAATATGATCACTTCTGGTTAAAAAACACAGAAGATGTTTTTTTGAGAGAAGGGATGTTGGGGTCCAACAGCAATCCAGGCAGTTTCTCAGCTGGTGATTTAACTTCTCTACTGAAAATGATCTTTTAGTTTCAGATGGAAAAAACGCCCATTATACAGTTGCAGCTAGAAACAGTCAAAAACCTGACAAATCTGTTCTCTATTAGTTCAGTGAAACTGTAGGTTGGGCAAAAACATTTACATTGAACAATTTTATTTTTGCTTCATTTTGATATCACAGAAGCATTTTATTTACAATAAGGTGACTGTGCTTCACTTTGATGTATGCTGTATATAGCAACGCTTGTGACTCAGGCCACCTGCGAGGTTTCTTATTTTGTTTTCCTAGGTTACTTTTAAAAAAAGCCATTTACAACAGCGTCTCACCATACTGGGCTGTGGCGTCAGGGTCAGAGAGCGCAGCAACTTTGAGACCTACTCCATGTTTTATGAGAATATTCTCCAGCAGCAGCAGCGTTTACTTTACCAAAAAGAAGAAGTATGCTCAGAGCATTGATTCTACTCTTTGAGAACAGGGGAAGGCGGTTTCTCTGGGTGGGAGGCAGTTGCTAAGTAAAAAATGAAGTCAAGCTGTCAGGCTGGGAAGTTGTTGAAGTGGAGTTGGGCTACACAGGCGTAGCCACCGTGCATCTTGGTGCTTTGCTTCAGGAGCTGCACGCCGTGGAAGAAGGTGGCAACCAAAGCGATACGGCTCTGACGCCGGTTGGTGATGGTGGTCTATTGATGGGTAGTACTTCGTGGTGTCATTTGGGACAGAGTCCCGCTGTGCAGACACACGGCGACAGTCTTTGAGAAGAAAGGTAGGGGGGCTCTGGGGCTTCTGTTGCTGTGCTGAATGCCAGAAGTCACGCCAGAAGGACTTGTAAAACAAAGATAATCTGAAGACAAAGGTAGTGGCCTGCTGTTCTGTGGTTCATGTTCACAGTGGATGATATACTGGTAACCTCCTAACTTAAACTTCACCTGACGGGTCTCTTCCTTCACAAAGCATTTTCCCAGAGCAATTCAATCTTGTGCATTGACTGAGATAGAAAATAGAAGTCAGGCACATGGGCTGTACTGCAGTGTAGGTACCAGGTATGCTACATCATGACTGCATAACCAACTCCTCTTAAGTTCTAAGTACTTGACTTTGCAGCTTCAGCTGTGTTTTTTAGGACAGCTGGTATGTGTGGGTGGAATTTTTTAAAGAAGTAAACCCAGCCAATAAATCAGAAATGCTATCTTGTGGAATCATGTGATACCCGTGTAATCTATTAGCTGACTTGCAGGCTTGGCTCCATCGACACAAACTCCACTGCGAGAGGCATGTCACCTTCTACAGAAACCTGCACTAGGGAGAAGACGGCTTGGGTTTCAGGGATGTTTGCACAGCAGTGTTAGAACACCTGCATTTTGCATTTCATTCCTGGGCTCCTTTTCTCATCTGTCCTCATCACTGACTACAAGATTTCAGTTCTTCTCTGGGCTTCTTATCAGTTTCTTGCCCCACTTTCTCAGGCTTTTTCCATTTTTTTGCCCCTATATCCTTTTCTGTACAGTGTCTTGTCAGCAGCCTCCCTTTTTCCCTGATTCACTGTCCTGTCCATATGTTTGGGAAAGCTGGAGTGAGAGAGAAAATGAGAAATGCGTGAGGTTTCAGCTGGGTGGAAAGACACAGGAAGAGTCAGTAGGACTTTCCTGGAGCCTGTGCGTAGTGGAGTCTCTCCCCCCCACACTTTGCTGGCTCATCACGACCAAATCCCTGTCTCATCTGTGTTGTACTCAAAGGAAGGGGCCCAGGGTGGCCAGCTGCCTCCTGTCGCTGGGCTCTGCTTCAACCTCAGAAGAGAATTCCTGCTCCCGGTTCCACTTCTCGCTAGCCTAAAGCGATCAACAGAGGCTATTGCAAGTCTGAAAAGCAAGCTCAGTTGCTCAGTGGAGGTGTTAGAAACCATGAGAAAGGCATGATCAGCCAAATGGGATGGCAGCTAGTTTAAAAACGAAAGAGTCTCTAAGGAACATACATGAACCATGTGGGTTGGGTTTTTTTCCCTCCAACAAAGTCCTAGGATTTGACCAACTTTTTACTTATTTTGCAAAAAAGACACCCAAAACAGAGGAAAACTAATGCTGCTCTAAATAAAGATCACCAGAATTTTTCACCAGGGCTAAAATACATGTATTTTTCCCCAACATTCATTTTCAGAAGTGTTTGCTGTAAGACAAAAAAACTGACAGAAAATTTCAGTGGGAATCCAGTGACGTTACTAGCATTGACTACTTAGGTCTGGCACGCGGAGGTGCCAGGCAACCTTGAAAGCAGACTGTGCTGTTGGCTGTGCCTCCAGGCTGCAGTTGTGCCCATTTCTTATCTGAGTAATGTAATATGCTAAGAATGATTTTTAGCTTTCCTCCATTGTGTTCATCTGGTTGCAAATGCTGTTTGGCGGTATGAAAATGACCAAACATTTATACCTAACCATGACCTACCTATGTGAAATTTAAATTCTCCTATGTGAAATTTAAATTCTGTCATTTAAATCTCTTTAAGTTCTATCATGTGCCTTCCTATTTGTGCTAACCTGTGTTCCCATTCTGAGGGTATGTTAATAGTCAAATATCAACAAATGGAACACATAATTGTTTTTATCATATATTAAATGGTCTGTATGTAGGAGTTTTTCAGATTTGCTCCGATAAACGCATTACCTCACAGCTTACCGAACGAAGCCTGGTCACAGTTCTTCTGACTTTCTCTCTGAAGGCAGAGGAGATTATGCTATGGGAGGCCAGGCTCACCGATGTAGCAGAGCCATGCACAGGGTCTTCTCCTAAAATCACATTCCCTTATCCTGCTCCCCAGTCTTTCCGCTCCTCTGTCCTCTGCATACATTTCCTTCTGTCAGTTCTCACACCTATTAGCAAGGAGATCTTTCTTTCCTGATGACCAGAAACAGACATTTTAAGGTTATGTATGATGCTTATGCATTTGCCCCCTTCGAATATTGGTCGTGAACTGCCACAATTCTTCCTACTGTTTCCAGGGAAGAAATGTTTCTAAAACCAACAGAGATGTACAAAATGGGTTATTCCGTATCATCAGTGGATTATTTTCATCAGGCCACTCGGTTAGGAAGATATTCTTGCTCTACTTAATGATTAGGTACCACACAACATATTCAGAGCTCTGGATCGTTTACTCCTAAGCTATAGTGTTCACTCATCCCTAGCTTTGCTCATTCACTTTCTCTGCTGTGATAGATTGTGGGGCTGTGCCATGAGATAGTTATGGAAATAACTGCTCTCAGAGCCCAGCTTGCTGACTTAGAGGAAGAAAATCTTGGTCTCAAAGAGAAGATTAGAAAAGAAGTACAGGATGAATACGAATCATTAGTGAGGAACCTATTTGTGTCTTGTGTCCATCTAAAAGTAGGTACAGAATAAGAGGGGGTACTCAATCGGTCTTTTTTGTGCTGCTGTATAATTTGCCAACAAGTGTAGCACTCAAAGGAATAAATTGCTGCAGTGTGCCAGGTGGATGAATGAGTGAATCATTTATCTCCTGCTGCTAGAAGCATCTTGTAAAAATGTCTGGTAGAAAAATAGTGTACCTTTTCCAAGAGAGGAGGCGTATTCTTGATGGAACAGGTACCACATTAGAGAGAGTGATGGAAGCACTGTTTAGTTACAGTGGAGGGAACTTTTTGGATATAATACTTCAGTTTGTAATATTCTGCATTATTTTTCTTGGAAACTTTATGTCCACTGTGTAATTGTATTGTTCACTCTAGCAATGCCTTTGTTTTCAAGTAGTTCACTGGTTTCTTTGGGGTGTCGTATGTTACTATTTACAAAAATAAGATACCCCAATCTAGCCTGTTAAAACTGACCTGATCATGACCACCTGTATCAGAGCCCCAGGGTTTTGATTGATGGTCCATGAGCCCATTAATGTCTGTGGCCAGGGCAACAGTGACTTGAGGAATATTGTGATTTCTTTTGCAATCCTGAGGGTGAGTCCAGTTTTCACCAGAAAGCCCATTTTTTCACCATGGTGCTGCTACTTCCATTAAATACATACATTCCAGGATTACCAAGAGGTTGCCTGCAAATGAGACAACTGAAATTCCACTTGTAGTGTCTGGATGCAAGAAGAATATTGCTCTGTCTTCCTGATACATTGATTCTAGGAAAATAATTATGAAGAAAGACCATCTGGTTGTAGTTGAGAGACTTCTGAAATCTTCTGAATGTTGCTTTCCCATATGTGCACACTTCATCTCTTATGGGTTCTGTTTGTAATGGCAGGGAAAGTTGGATGTCTATCGCCTTAGCATTGAGCAACGAGTGTTTGAAATCATCAGTGAAGTGAGAAGAGAAGGGGTTGACAATATGATTGATCTGAAGAAAAAGTTTGGCTCCGCTAAAAATAATGGTGACTTGAAAGAACATTTGTCTAAAGTAAGGAAATACATATGTGTGTCAGTAAATGAACAGAAGGATAATATCCTGGTTAAGCTGCTGAAGATGGCTTAAGTTATTGCGTTCTATCTGGGACGTCGGTTGGGTGAAGAGCATGGAGGTGGTCCATTACTAGACTCTGTTAATGGCTACTCATTTGTCAGGCTGTCATGAATCAGTCATCTTTGACTGTGTGCTTATGCTCCAAGTGCAGAAACTTCAGGCCAAACCCAGCCCTTAGACCCTGAATAACTGCATCTATTTGAATTGAATTTGGTTCTAAACTCAGGAATTCTGCTTTCAGTCTTTTCTGAGTGAAACTAACACCATGCTTTCTACACAGGTGAACATCAGAGAGGTTGAACTTGGATCTGAAGACGTATAAATGTGAACTCACATTCAGTCATGTCAGCATTGTCATGTGTTGTCATTGTCCCTTTTTTGAGCTAAGCAAAGAGGATGTGATGTTTCAGTGACCCTGATAAATGTGTTGATGGGAGTTTTATCTTCTTGTCGTGCAAGCTGGCCATGTAAAAGAATAGGGACAGAATCCTTTTTTCCACTTGGGGTTACTTAGAATAAAAAATATATTCAGCTTTATGTTTTGAAAAAGTGCTGCCAAAACTGATGTTCTGAGAGTTATAAACTAATGCCTGGAAATGACCTTCCCAGGCTACAACTTCCAAATCAATCCCTTTTCTAGTCAAACATACACCTCCTCAGCAAAGTTCAATTTGTACTAAAACTATGGTAGTCAGTCAGTGAATACGAATGAGATCAAACAGATAAAGGCTAAATAGTTCCGTCTAAAGCAAATATGCCTGCAGAACTCTCAAGCAGAGAAGCTTGCGAAGCAGGATATAACTGTAATGCCAACAGAGTGAGAAGGGCTTTCAACATCCCCAATGAACCTGGAGGATAGGGACGCCCTGAAGTAAATGAGGAACCAGTGGAAATGGAGGAGGTCCGTGCGTGAGAAGGCGGCAGGGAGACTTCCACATCCCCACTTGGAAATGACGGTGTGCAGAGGCAGTGAACAAGGAGAGTGGGGAGCTCATGTGCAGTCAAAGGGCTGGTTTTGAGTGGAGTCACGGGAACTCGGTGGGCTGGTGCACACCATGGTCATGGGTGGTTACAGGGTGTGCAAGAAGGATCAGCAGGGAAGAAGAGGAGCGAGAATTGCGCTCTGTGTAAGGGGTTCATTCCCTGCACAGAGTTCGGGTGTGGATGTGGAGATGTACTACTGAAAGCCTATGAGTCAAGGTCAGAGGAGGGAGGAACGTTAGTGATGACTAATGACCACGGTGGGGAATCTGTTACAGACTGCCTGGTCAAGAGAATAAATCCCCTGCCAAGAGGGGAAAAGTGCCGAGGAAAGCTGGTTGACTTTTAAAGAAAACTTAAAGAGATTTCAAAGCCAACTACCCTATTATGCAAGAAGACCGGGGAGTTTAACAGAAACTTGGCCTTGCTTGCCTTAGCAAGGAGCTTTTTTAAAGGAGTAAAATACAAAAAGAAAGACTGCAAGTAGTGGAAACATGGACAGGCAACAAAGTAGAGTATCAGAGTTCAGACCCACAGTGATGAAATTAGGAAGGCCAAAGCCCACCTGCAGATAAAAAACTAATGCAGGACACAAAGGGTGAGAAGGTGAGTTGACACTGAATGGTAGATCTTCTGTGCAGAGACACCTCTGCCAGGAGGGCCAAGGCCTCCAGTGGTCCTCTGTAACCCTTGTTTCTATGATTTTTGCATAATGAAACTGTTTTCTTCTGCCTTAAGAACAGTTTTCAGGAGGAAGTCTGCTATTTTGAACAAAGAAGAAGAAAACCTGATGACTATACTTTTCATGAATCCACTAGTTTTGTTCTTATTAAGGACACTGTAATTAGGGTGAACCAGGTTACTAAACACGGTATGAACCTGAATCCCCATTTGGCATGATAGTGTTTATTACCATTAACAGTGCTTCGTTTCGGAGGGGTTTACCTGCTTGCTGCTTTGGCTTAAATTTCTTCCATTTTTTCCCAGTTTCTGGGCAATGTTCACATTTCCTGTCTCCCTGGAGACACAGTAATAGAGATTCATTGCCAAAGGCTGCACTGTTTCAAACTGCGAAGTTCGAGCATTTGAAAATTAAAATGGAATACAAATAGTCGCATGCCTTTACAATTGTATTTACTTCCAAACCACACGTTTCTTCCTGAGGAAAGTAATCTTTGTGGGTCTACTCTTACTGTCGTCTTCTTTAGCAGGAACAGCTGCAGCTCTTGCAGGATGAAAATATCAGGCTAAGCAAGCTGGTTTGTAAGCTAAAGGCTCTGAACTGTTGGAAGCAAACCACTCAGAAGGCACAGCTCTCTGCAAAGCTTAGAGATGCTGAGAAGGTGATATTTCCCTACCGTTTCATCTGTTACTAGTCTCTAATTTTCTGCAAAACTAATGGTCAGATTGGGCAGGCGCACTATTACTTAGTGAGTCTATAGGATCTCATGGGAACTGCAGATTTTAAGTAAAAATTCTAAACTTTTTTCTCCTCTGTATTATGGGTATAGGGGAGGGTCTTGAAGTGTGAAGAGCGTGAAACAAATCCCTGATGCCTAGTTGAAGTCTAGGAAGTAGGAGTAGCCTACAGTATTCTTAATTCTGTTGCTGACTCAGAAAAACTAATTATGACGTTGTATCAAAATCAACGATTTCACAACTGACCAAAACATATGAAAAAGATGACAGGCAGACATGAGGTGAAAACAAACTAGACTGTTGGTTTGGGAGGTGGCTGAGTTTTGGTTTTGTTTTTTTTTTTGTTTCGTTTTGTTTTTAAATTGGTATCTGCTTAAACAAAGCAGAACACAGCATGAGGTTTATAGAGGTGGCTGAGTTTTGGTTTTGTTTTTTTTTTTGTTTCGTTTTGTTTTTAAATTGGTATCTGCTTAAACAAAGCAGAACACAGCATGAGGTTTATAAATTTAATTACAGAAATACAAGATGAAGCACAAAAATGACTAAATTAAACTAAAGTGAAGATGGATGGAAAGAAAAGTGCCTCACTGCTTTAAATGAGCCTGATTAGAATGGAACAAACAGGTTATTGATTGTTGCATAGGTTAATTAGCTGCACATGTCAAGTAAAGGAAAGGCAGAATGGATCACATTTGTTAACTTAAAAAGAGTGAAAACAAAATGGGGTTTGTGTGCTTGTTAATTTTAAACCCAAATAAAACTGGATATGTATACACTTAGTTCAATTATATCAGGGAGATGCTAAATCATTAGAATATCTTATTAAACAGATCAGTCAACGATGGATTGAATTATTGCAAATTTATGGATTTAAATAAAAAATAAGAGCTATCTTCACAGGGTTGAAAAGAAAAGTCTGAAACTGAGAAAAATAAATGGGATATTTTGGCTTTTTAAAATTAGAAACTAGCTCATCTTGCTCAGACAGAGCTTTCTCGTGTCTGACTTTGGAATGATCCTGATGATCTAAGAACTTGTATTTCACTGTCCTCCACTGCAAGTGCAGAGGATCATGGCCCTTGCTTTTTCCAGGTTAAATGGCTGGGAAAGGAGAGAGGGCTGCTAAATCTGTGCCTGACATAGTAATGTGTTTATACATAAATGTTTGTGTTTAAAACAAACAAAAAGGCCCTGCCGAGAAGGAAAACAAGCTTCATCACACACATTTTTACTTTAGAGATAATGAAGGAATAATCAGATTAGTAGATGGACAGGTCTTTCTAATGCATAAGAAAGATCAAGTGTTGCATTGCTCTGACCTTGTTTGCAGACAAGAACTTGAATTGTTGACATGTGAACATAATTAAAGATGTGCAGTTGTACCCATACAAAAGATTATCTTATGTTTTCCCCTTTAGAGGACCCCTCTTGTCCATCCTGTTCCCCATTTTGCCTTAAAAAAGGTCCAGCCTTTATTAGAGAATAGGAACAATTCAATTCACTTTACTAAAAATCTCTGAGAGATTTACCTTTCAAGAAACGCACTGCTATATAAAAGAGAGAAAATCACTGCTCTCATCATTGTTTCTGTTATGTACTTTCTGTTTACAGGAAGCTCTTCAAAACAAAAAAGAGTGTCTGAATGCTAAGATGATGGCAGAACAAGAGGTGACTTTGTTTCGGGGTCAGCTTACATCTGTAAGGAAAGCTCTTGCAAAATCTCAGGCAGACAATGACAAGCTAAAGAAACAGGTACGTAAACAGGTATCTGAATTCAACAGGTCCTGATCCATCAGCGCAACAAGTTGAATTCTCTTCTCCATCTCACTTGCTTTAATGAGAATTTTGCCTACTGTTATTCTAGGAGAGAAATGGATTCAAAACTAACAGCGTAATACAGTTACCGAAGCGGGATGTGTATTTTATGGCATTGAAACAATGTGTCCGTCTGAGTGTTTTCACCATTGCAGGTAGAGAGAACCAGGGAAAAAACCATAGCATCTTGGATAAAGTTTGAGCCACGTACCAAAATGACAGCTACAGGCACTACATTTATGTACGCCATCGACAGTGCTGGATGTATGTTTTAGGAGAGGAAAAGACACTATTAATATTTTATTCCACAGCTGAAAAAAAAATTAAATTACAGATCTTGAGGCTATTAGTTTTCCACCCAATCATTACATTTCAAGGCAACATTCAGGGATGTTGTCATTAAATCCGGAACAAATTCATTACCTGTTTTTTTTCCATCTGAACACCTTCATGGATATATCACTGCCACAGCAAGCTCCCTTTCACTTCTACAGATGGCCACACATGCTAAGACGGCCCATTCCTCAAACTCAAGCTGAAAAGCACACCCTTCACTTGCGATATACTTAATGCCAAGCAACTTGATTGTATGGAAAATAAGTCATGTCAAACCAACCTCATTTCATTCTGCTGATAAGATTACAAGTTAGATAGACAAACATAATGCTAGAGATGTAATATATATTTGGGAGGGCCTTGTAACGCTTGGGTTAGCAGCACGTAACTTTTGTATTTTACGTTTTAGTATTACACAATATTAATAAAAATGCTAGATGGATTGAGTGCTATATTTTTTAACATATAAAAATGTGTTATTTTCACTAAATTAAGATGGTTTCTGACGGATTTCTACAGGGGTTGGTACCAGAACTATCGGTATTCAACATTTTTGTCAGTGGCTTGGAAATAAATATAAAACTATAGATGATACAATTTACCAATGACTTGTTTGAGGAGGAATGCTAGTGAATTTGATGAGGCACGTTTAGTGAATAACAATGTGGGCAGAGCAGGAGTACAGCATCATACAGACAGCTTCGTAACTTGGTTATCCCTCCGAAAAGTATTTTAGTGCCTGAGTAGGTGAAGAACGAGAAGAAAGCTGGACTTGTACAGAACAGGGTGACTGCGTCCCTGGGCGGGACAGGGGTTGTAACAGACAGGTGCCTGGCCATGTAGTGTGGTACTGGAAAGGATGGATGCCACCATCTTTTAGTTTATACAAAGGAGAATAGTGCAGATATATATTAAAAATGAGTTTGTAGCTCTAGGCACAACACACTGAAATACTGCCACTGGTTCCGGAGTGTACTACTTCAAAAAGACGAAGAAAAAATTGAGCGTGTTGAGAAGAGTTAGGAAAATGATTTGAGGGCTGCAGGAAATGCTTTCTCGCAGAGGGCTCTCAGAAGGCTCACTCTGTTTAGCCTGTCTGAAAGCAGAGTGACTCGATTACAGTCTACAGGTATTCTTGTTGGCAGAGGCCAGCAGATATTAAAGGGTTCTTAGGGAAAGGTATAACAAGAGGTGGTGCCTAGACGTTGAGGCCAGGCAAACTGAAAATGGGAAATTAGAAACAATGTTTTCAAAATGTGATTAACCGTGGAAATGACAATATGTCTAACCGAGTATCTTCAAGTCAAGACCAGATGCCTTTCTGGGAAACATCGTTTAGCCAAACCAACTTGCTCATTCCAGTACAAGGGTAACTAAAGTAAATGTGATATTAAAAAGTCACATCTGATGGCTTGATTGCTCCATTCTGAGCTTATCGGCCTATGAAACTCCAACCTTAGTCAGGCTTAGAGAGCTCCCCAATGAAAAATGTTAGGTCTGTGACTGCTTTTAGCTCTTTGTGTTCAGATTTTTCACTAGAGCGGAGTTGCCTTTGGCTGATAAATTGGTTTTCTTCACTGACAAGCTGTCAATTTTCTTCCAAAAGACCCACTGCATCTACCATCTTTCTAGCAGCTGCTTTTGTTGTTGATGTTAGTTTTTCTTTGGTTTCTGACATCAGCTTCTGCTTCTTTCTCTTCTTCCTAATTTCTTTCCTTGGTACAGATTGCGATGACGGTGTTCACAAATAGCAGACTCCATTCCATACCCCTTGGCTGTACAGGAGGGTTTCACCTGATATGGGTGGCTTGTAATACCATTGCATGCAATTGTGGTACAGACTCTAAAACGTAGCCATACTTACTGGCTGTCTCTACAAACCATATAAAAACAGCAACGTTTGAAAAAGCTGTGCTCGTTTTCCCCCTCTTTCCTTGTTTATACGTTGTTTTAAAAGCGAGTTCCACATGCAGACCAGGGGCTGGTTGTGGAAAGAAAATTACAGCAGACTGAGGAAATTGGAAGCAACTGCCTTCTCGTTTATTTGCAACTGAATGAGTGCTACACATGAATGTTGTTTTGAGGCTTCTCTCTCTAAACAGCAATGATGTAAAGACAGCATTCTGTTCCCACTCCCCCTTACCCTTCCCTTGCGCTCCCTGTTCCCACAACCCAGATTTGATTTTGGGTTTAGGTCTGACTGTGGTCCTCTCCTAAGACCATGGGATAATTCAGATTTGTTTACCAACATTTCATTATCTTCAGTACGGAGCCATGTGGGATTGGGTCTCTCCTCATTCAGCTCAGCTGGGCGTGACATCTGAGGACTGCTCATCAGGGTTTTAAAAGGAAATGTAAAAAGGTGTGTATGGGAATTGGGGGAAGGTAATCTAAGTCTGAAGCTTTTGTGATTGCATGTTGTAGAAACAAATGCCTTTGGAAGTAGTACTGAGGAAGATGCAAGAAGCCAAGAGACAAGTACTCGGTGCGATGAAAGCTAAAAACACAGAGAAGATGCTTGAGAGATAGAAGAAAAAGAGAAGAGAGTGAAATGCCTAATCAAGGAAGCTGAAAAATCGTCTAAAATGTGCCGTCTTCAGCAAAAAGGGGTCAAAAAGGAAATGCAGCAGGCAAACTCATAATGCAGACTTGAAAAATAAAAATAGTAGTAGCATTTCTGGAGAGATGTCTCAAGTTTTAACACTGTCTGACCACATCTGAGTGTATCCTTTCAAGTGTCTGAACTTCACAGAGTTTCACTGTAGCCCTCCAAGTGCTCTGGATGAGGGTCTTCTAGCATGAGCCTTGGTGCTGTGCTGGGCACTGCCTGCTGGGGGCTTAGGGTCACGTTCCACCTATTGGTGGCATCTTGTGTTTCTGATGCTTCTCTCGGGGCCCTCCTGTTGAGCCTGGTTCAGTATCTTTGCTCTAGAAAGTGAGTAGCATTCTCCTTATTTTGGAGGTAAACTGCCTGAGAGTTTGTGCGAGGCGCTGGTGCAGCAGGAACGGGTGTGCAGTGCTAGACAGAACACGCCTGCACCCCTGGGGGGATCAGGGGGTGCAGCAGCTGGAGCAGCAAGCGGCTGGGCTCAGTGGCTCCGGAGGCTTTGGCTAGCTGCGTGTCCCCTGTTGGGATGTCCCCCAGGGGTGTGCCCCAGGCCTCTGCTGTAGCCGCCGTCCTTGTCACCAGACTGAACGTGGAGCTTTGGAGCCTGACTCGGGCTCTGCCTCCCTGCTGGGGCCACACTCCTGGGTCTGCAGTGCCTGCCGCTTTCCTGGCTCTCCCTGTGACATTTCCCAGGCAGGGCTTTGCTGCCTCGATGCCAGTGCTGCAGAGCTGACAAACTGCTGTCCTTTTCCTGCTTCTACTCTGCATTTGACACAGACCCTCTGTCCTTACCTCCGTTTCACACACTTTACGCCACTGTTTCCCAAACTGTGGACTACTAAATGACGTATTGGGAAGGGAACTGGTTTAATCCAGTCTGGCCACAGAAATGGCATTAGTTATCACTAAACCGATGCCATCGTACTGAACTGATGTATTGAGTTTAAATCTGTTACTGCATTGCTAATAGTTGATTTAGTGTAACTGAGTAACCAGATCCACTTTTAAGATTATCTTCCTGTAAAAGGTATTTAACTACTTCAATTTAAAAACTGATTTGGCCAAGTAAATACAATCTCTGTCTTTAGCACAGCTGGTAGAGTGGGCTCTTGGCTGTGAAACGTGCAGTGTTTCTTTTGTAGTGTAGCCTGCAGAACCACAGCAACCACTTGATTAGAGTTTAACTAGATGAATCCATCTACTAACTGACAGCTTTGCCGCCACTGATGTCTCCTTGCCCTTGCTTTCTTGGTCTAGAGAGAAAAAAAAAACCAAACCTTTGTAAATGTATCTGAATGCCTCTCCTGTAAACCAAGCAAAGTATATTCTGTCTTCAGTCTTCTAAAGCATCAAGGTGAAAGCACGAGCTCTTTGTTTTCCAGAGTCAGGATGACAAATGCCATTCTGCTGCAAATAATTTCTCAGGCTGCTGTTGTGTTTTCTAACCAAAATCATGTGAGAGACTTTAACACAGCCAAAGCAGCTGGTGCAGACACATAAGACCACTGATTTTCTTGGTATCTGTCTTTGATGGGGCTCTGAACTGTTTTGCTGTGTTTACAAAATAACCCTTCAAGAGATCGGAGATGTCAGTATCTGGATCAGCCCTTAAGGAGAGCAAGAAGGAAAATGGCAAGTGTGGCGTGGAGGCTTTTATTGCCACACAACAGTCCCAGCTGCAGCTAGCACCTACGTGGTCATTAGCACTAACAAACTCTGTATTTAAACTTAGTTAGCAAATTACAGAGTTTGTGGGAGAGGTGAGGGAAGAGCTGCTGTTTTTTCCACATACTTCTGCCCTGAAAATGGAGGTAGGGTCTTGTCTAATTAGGATTGCATGCAGAGAACAGTGAGAAAAGGCCTCTGTGTTGTTTTTATCTTCCTCCAGCAATGCCTGGAATGCAGATTCCTATTAAACAATAACGAGAATGTCAATTTGCACTATTTGTGCTGCATTTTGCGTTCAGAGGGATTATGGATGTGTTTAGCAAAGCTGTAATTATGGATTACTTCAACCAGCAAGAAGCGACAGCCTCTCATTCACAAGAGCACACAGGGCAACAACATCTTGTCCTTTACATCTAGGCCCCTGCTTTGAGGCAGAGCTGTCGGATGATGAATTTTTGTTGCTGCCATTAATCCTTTTACCACCTTCTAGGTAAGAAGCCGGTTAACCCAAGAGTGCAGTTTCAAATGGGAGGCCTTCCAGCAGGCTGATGAACTGCAGTGTCAAGTTTATGACCTGGAAGCTGCAGTTTCCCAGAGGAATGCGACTGCAGGTAAAGACAGGTTGTGTGGTGTGCCCTGCTTTCTTGGGGAAATAAGCCTTATGAGCTATGTGTCCATGCCTCTGAATCTCTCCTTAACCTTTGAAGCAATAGGCGACTTAAGCCAAATATGAAAGAGGAGAAGACCTCCTCTGTAATGAAAGCATTTAGGTAGAGGAGACAGACCTAAAACAATCTCGAGGAAAGGTCAGACAACGCAAAAGCCATATGCCTTCTTACACCGCAGCTGCTCAAGCAGCACAAGAAACACTGACTCCCAGGTTAATAACTTTAAACCGTAACTTGTATTGTCTTTTGCTTTGTAGGGATCTCATGGGAAAGATGAGGGGAGCTGCATTTAGGGGAGGAGGCAATTAGGAAAGGAAGGATCCCAAGCGGTAGGAAATCAGGCTTCATTAGTGGCTCTGGTCTGGGAGCAGCTTGCTTACAAATCACGTGGGGCAGCCAAACTTGTACCCTTGTAATTTGATGAGATACATGACTATGGTTGCAGGTATCTTTAGAGGATCTCCAAACAGCAGTGAGAGCTTTCTAGCCCTTAATTGAACTAACCTGGAACTTAAATCTGTAACAAAAATCCTTCTTCTCAGCTGTTTGTTAGGTAACTTTTTAACATAATGCTTAAGTAATTCATGTAGCTTAAAAAGCTTGATTAGGGATTTCTACTCCCACCTGCCCGAAGTTGCTGCTTTTCTCTGTGGTATCGAAATCCTACTGTCAGTCTGACAAACTCATGCAGAAAAATTGATGGGTGATACCTAAATTCCTAGTAAATTAAGTAAACAGGAAAAAAACCCCAATGATCTTTCAAGGTACATTTCTATGCCATGAAGAATACGAAGTACTACAAACTTTTAGTTTCCTTCTGCAGGAAAATGTTAGTTATTCATAGTATAGCTCATTAGCACGCTGCCGACGACAAGACATGAGCCAAACGTGGGGAAATAAATAACAGGGAGGTATCTTTAATTAATGCACAAATATACTTGGTTTCTCTGGCTTTAAACCAATCAAGTTCGGGGAAAAGTTGGTGCAAAACTTGCAAGTCACATTGATGCTACTGAGCACAAGGAAAGCGGCTGCGACAGAAAGGAGATGAATTATTGTTTTTTTTTCCTGCAGTGAGTTACCATTGTTAAACATGACGCAGACCTGGAAAAATTGGCTGAGGAGCTTGGATTTCTCTGCGTTCAACATAGGAGCTCTATCAAACTATAGACATCTAGTCTGAAATGTGTTAAAACTCCGCAATGTATTGTAGCTACGTTTTTATTTGTGATTTTTCTTTTTTTTTTTTATTCCTGTGTCTGTAATAGTAGATGGATGTTGTGAGGTTTGGTGGTGGGTTTGGGTTTTTTTTTTTTTCTTTCTTTCAAAAAGGTAGAAAGAAGACTGCAGAGCTGTTGTCCCATAGTACAAGCAGTAGAAGAAGTCGTTTTCCAGGTAATAAGTCAATATTAAATAGCTATCATTTTTGATGCATTAACACTAGTACTTTTCATAAGGCAATCCAGACATGCACCATGTAAAGATTTGTCTTTCCAGTTAATCTGAGTTGCACTCTGTCACTCGCTTGACTTCAGACCTATAGCATTTAGCCAGACCTATTTGTATAGTGCTGGCAACTGTTATTTGTAACAGCCCTGTTTTGACTGTAAAGGCAAAGGTGTTTTTGAAACAGGTCATGCCAACTCTAGGAATTGCCCAGATAGACTAAGACTTGAACCAGTTTGTAAGAATAATCCGTAGATTAGAAGCCTGAGCCATGTCTAGTTTTTTTTCTCCATTCCTTCTCCTCCATCTCATCTTCCTCTTCTTCCCTCTTAAATGCACTGAGTTGTGGCCTGTCTCGTTAACGTGAAACAGTTGCTGCGCTTCTTTCTGGGTTCGTGTGATGCTTGTGTAGTCAGTCCTCTCAAGCCCCTGCTTCAGGACACACAGATGCTGAACGCAGTCCGAGCAGAGTGGGTGGTTGTGCACTCTGGGCAGCTGCCAGCCGCTCTCCTGCTGCTTCAGCAGGTGGCCAGAGTCCCTTGGACACGCACCCTGAAATAATGCCAGAAACACCTAACCGATGTGGTCTGAAACACCTTGGATCCTATCTGAGGAGGAGGAACACTGTCTCAATTAACAAGCGCAGGATTACAGCTACAGAGCAAAACCACCCTCACCTTTTACCTAAAGTTAGTGGGGAAGGTTAACACAGGGTTAAGAAGCGGTATAGCCACAGCACATTGTACATAGATACAAATCAGGCTTAAATTGCATTACTGTTGATAGCAAGCATAGCATTTGATTCACTGGGGATTTTTTTAGTGGCTGAAGGGTTGGCATTAAGTGGCTGCATCTCTGCTTCTCAGAAATGTACAAAGATGAAGACTGGAATTCACCAGGGAATGTAGTGTCACTGGGAACAGATCACTAACGCCCACCCACACCTTTTAATCTTGGCTTTCAACAGGACCGGGAAGGACAGAGTTGTGGGGAAAACAGTCACATATAATGAAGTAGACTTGGGGCAGCAAGAATTTTCTGCTTCACTGAGAGGTCTCCTACTGCAGGAATGAATGTCAATACACTCATTACTATGAATGAAAAGGGCGTGGGGCGAGCCGCAAGAACTGCAGGGTTTTTTGCAAATAGTTGCAACTACCTGCAAATAGTTTTTGTTCTACTTTGTGTCAAGATCATCCATGAACCACTTTTTCCAGACAAAGCAATCTATTATTCTACTAGTACTATGCCAAGTGTTCACAACTTGTTTTGGTTTGGTGGTTTTTTTGGTGTGTGTGGGTTGTTGTTTTTTTTTTTTCTTTTCACCCTAACATTCTGCTTAGAGGTCAGAAACAACAGCTTTTGCATTTACTTGAGTTCTGCTTTAACTCTGCGTTGTTGGTAACACTCCAGGTTCTGCAGCTTAGGTCCAGAGTAACAAGCTTTCAGCATCCACTCAGCATGGGGATGACCAGCAGCATCCTTTGAATTTTGTTCCAAGCAGCAGCAATGGAACAGGAGGAAACACTCAAAGACCAAAGACAGTAAGTAACGGCATTAGTAATAAGCTGATACGGCTGAAAAATGAGCAACTTCTTTGCTAGTTTGCAAGCTGTCATTTGCATATATACCCAGGCAGGTTTCATCCGGACAGTAAGTCAAATCCCTTTGAAGATTTATCTTTAAGAGCAAGGTGACCAGTATGTATGGTTAGCAAATGGGGAAAAAAAAAAAAAGTTTCAAGTGTTCCAAAAATTGACTAAAGAAAGGGGGCAGGAGGGGAGGTGTTTAGTTAGCAATGGTCCAGGAAAGATTTTTTTTTTTTTTTGAGTACCATGCCATGGTTGGTGACTCTTTTTGTATGTTACTTATGCTTTCAGGTGCCTAGCAGATGGAAGGAGAGAATGGCAGATAGGCTATTACCACACCTAAATGAAAAGTCTCTTCCTACTGTCTTCATGCAGCTACAGAAACAAAGGCCGGTCCAGAAGTAAACATAAACATATTTTTAATCAGTCCAGGGCATTCTAGAAAATGCCACTGAACTGGCAACCCTGAAGTAAGAAAAGAACAATTTACATACAAATCAAAGAAAAGCAGTAATACTCCAGTGCCAACATATTTGGACAGAGTGTTCAATACCAGCTCCAGCAGTTAATCTGCTCACCCATTTTAGGTACTGGGTGATGCGGATCTTCCTTCTGAGCAAGAGCAGCACTGCACATCCTCCCTTCACAGACAAGGCAGCACAGTACAGAAAGGCAAGGATATCAGTCAAAACTAAAAGGCTTCCTTTTATTGTGGTAACCTCGGAAGGCAGTGGTGCAAAGCATAGCTAAGTGCTTAGAGCAAAAGCACTGGGTCTGGCTTTTGGGGTTTTTTTGTTCTTTGTTTGTTTGTTTGGGTTTTTTGGGGGTTTTTCCTATTGCAACCCCTGACCACCACATCCTGCCCGATGCAGTGCGATCAGCCTGAGGTTGGTGCCTGTACACTGAAGCTTTCATGCCTCTTTAAAGATGACTCACCGAAAGTATCGGTGTCTCCAGCTTCTCTCCCCTCCCCCTAGAAAGAGGAAGAAGGGCAGCACTTTGCAGTGCTACACTAACCAGAAAACAGAAAAAAAAAGTAATGCATGAGTTTATCTGCATTTCTCTTGCATGGAAAAAAGCTTGCTTTTACAGCCTAGGCAATAAAGGACTCAAAGCTGTCTTTCATGGATGCGTCAAATTGTATTGTAGCTTTCGATGAGTTAGAATACTAACCTATGTGCCTTTTACCATCATCCACATCCCTGGATGCTTGTGAACATGAATAATGAAATACCGCAGTACTCTTTTTATAAATAACTAAGACCTACAATTAAATTCAGGCAACCCTTAACAGCATTGCATTGGTTAAACACTGAGTAAAGGAACTCTTAACTTCTGTTAGAAATGCTGCAGTATTTGGAGATAGAGGATTCCCCGAATAAGGCTGACATCCTTCACCATTACTGAAACAAGCTTGATTTCATTCAAGCTTGCTGCTACATCAAAACAAGTCACAATATACTCCGAGTGCTGCGGAACCAGTTATCAAACAACACGAGTTCTTTTTAAGGTATGCCTTAAATGAATGACAAGGTGACTGATAACTATCCAAGGTCAGCTGTCACTAGAAAAGCCACCAAGTGTGATTCTAGCACATTCCAGGAACCAGATGCCAATTTGAAAGAACAATATCATCAGTACGAAGCACTTAGGTGCCACTGCAGCAGTAAAAAGGAAAGGGCTGTCTCAGGCTAATTACAGCTTCTTGATAAAATACTTCTTCAAGTGTTACTCAACTTAATACAGCAAAATTCAAAGATGATTTTTGAATGAATGCTATACCTACAGCAGACTACCTTCAAAGAACAGCTTTGTAACAAAAACTTCATTCAGTCCTTGACTGCGTGCAGTAAATGAACGATTTGCTGGAAGGCGTAACGATTTTAAACGTATCAGGAAGCTTTAGGTTTCCTCCATTTCCATACGGCCTTTCCATAAACACTACTAAAAAGTGTTTGCAATTTCCCATGATACAAGACTGAGTTATGTCAATACTACCTAGTGACACATTCACACTTCACTCACTACCCACAAAAGCATCAAGGTCATGATATGAAACTACTGAGGTTACTTCACTCAGAGCTGGTTATCATTTTAGTCAGTCTGCAACTACAGAATTGCACACCCTCTGTTCTCTTGTTCAAGCACCAACAGTTATTCCCTAGCAAATATCCTCCCCTTTCCCATGCAATCAGGAAAGAAAGAAGGCTCAGAACGATACCTTTTTCATGAAGGTCAAAGATCTTAACATGAAAGGATGCTGCAGTGTAGGGGTTATTAACAGTCTCCCTGGAAGCACAGACTGCGGTCCCTCTTCCCCCTGACATCCAGTATTGCTATTGGAAAGAGGAGCATTAAGCCTTACAGGGTGTTGCAGGTGGAACACAATAAATGCCTTGCTGTTCTTTGGCTTTCAGGGGAAAACAGGGTTAAACTAACATGGAAGACATGACCTAAATGAGAGTTCTTTTGGAGGTGATTCTAAAACTGAATCGGTCTTGTTGCACATACCAAATGCAAAGTTAATACTGTATTTAGGAGAACTAACTTAACTCTTCAAACCTTTCATTCTCCCTCTTTCCCCACTGTGTTTCTCGGTTTCTACGGAAAACAGCTCTTATCTCCAGAAAGTCAGCGGACAGTCCCCTCTGGAATTGCTCACATTAAAGAAAGTTTACAAATAAAATTCCATTCAACAGATTTTATTTATCAATTTGGTTTTGCGATTACAACTGTTTCAGTTTTCTTCCACTGAAGACAAAATACAAACGTTTACAGCAACACTTGCAGAGAACATTCATAAGATAACAGCTTGATATTTGCACAAGTTGGCTTCAAGAAAAAGCCAGATACCTTGAAGAGTCACTACAGTTCAGTGCCTAAAATTGATTTAGGGGCAAACACAACTACAGATCTACGAGCTACCTTCCACTTCAAAACACAAGGCCAAGAAAAACTGCAAGTTGTTACTTCAGGTTTTTTGCTAGTACACAGCACAGATCAGCTGACACTGCCGTTTCACAAAGCAGTAATTACTTTCTATAGTGAGGCAGCCAAGCACACGGTGAAGATGTATAACCCAGCCTCCCCTCCCCCCAAACAACTGAAAGGGACACAACCCAGCCGCAATTCTGTACACTGTGGATTGTACCTTGTTGGCAAGGCTCACGAGGAAGCAGCGCGTAGTGCAGGCCTTCCAGAACATGACTAAATTGATATAGTACAAGCTTGAGTTTTTCAGATTGGCATCTGTACATGTCAGAGATCCTGGGTTTCCCGAAGTCTTGGAAAGTAGCAATTGCTGGCACCAAGAAAAATTTAATAACTAAGGCAAGGTATCCCTCCTACCCTTTTAAACACAATTTGAGGCAAAAGATTAAGCAACTTTAAGGCACTTTAAAAATTAGTTTGCTTTACCAGCATACTTTATCAGCAACCTAAATCAGGATCAGCATAGCTCATGAATAAGCATTTTAGCAACATTTTACAGAGCAACAACTTTTTTGTGGCAATGTCTTCCATGCTATGAAGTGTTCTGTAGCACTTTCCTGCAAGTTTCCCAAAAATAGCCCTTTGAGGCCAAAAAAATTATATACTAGGCATACAGTTTGCTTTGCTGAGCCGAAGGAGAACTCTGTCACACTTTTAGAAGAGTGTTTTGCTCACTTCAAAGCACAGAATACAAGCTCATGGATATCTTTTAAACAAATAAATGTAATAAAACAGTTCTGAGATAGGGAAAGGACAGATTAAGTGATTTCACAATAAGGCCAAGGATATACCATCTAACCCACACGCATACTGTTGCTGGAACTGGCTGCTCACTCTGCTGTTTTGATAAACCTGAGCTGATTGTCTTAGGTTTTTTGGTTTTTTTTTTTTTTTTTTTAGAAAACCAAAAGCTAATGAACTCAAAGATACAGTACTGGTGAGTAACTTCTGTATTTTGTAGCAAGTTGAGTTTTCTATGCAGCACAATAGAAACAATGCCATTTAAACTAGAAGAACACAAGAAAGCAACACTGTGCACTTTAAGTTTCCAACTGAAGTGCACTTCATTTGCTTCATTCATATTTAAGTTCCACTGCCATAACTATAATCTGCATTAATGCTATCATTTTGTATTAGGTGCCAAATTCCAGCCAAGTCAGAGCTACTAAAACAGTACTACAGATTATCCTGAAATTGATGATCAAGGGATATCATCAAAAGCCAGGTATTATGTGCTACATCCACCACTTGATTTTATCTTTACTTCCATTTTTCCTGTGGGTTTATTTTCACAGGTGCTCAAGTCAATCGACACTGGAGATGAAGTACCTTTGATACTCAGATCACATGGCTGATCCAGCCAAGGAAAAAAGAAATATTATTTGGCCAAATAGATTTCCTTAACCAGTTCACTGCAGGGTGACACACACCTGGTGCCAGGATGGGAAGGGGAGAAAAAAGGTGTAGCCCTGGCAGTCCCAGAACTACAGCAATCCTGACTAGGGTCACATCAGCAGATCCTCTGAACTACCCTTAATTGCTCCTTCAGCAAGCAGACATACAGGAGGGTAAAAAAGAAAAAAAGCAAAACCCTGAAATTAACTGCAACAAGTTTAAGAATCATTTGAATAAGAAAAACCTCAGGATTTCCCAAACACCAGTATTTCAAGTATAAATGTGAGTTGTTGCCTTTTTATACAGGGAGTGAACTGAATTTTATCACTAGTTTTATGGTGGGTCTTTGTAGGCCAGAACAAAAGGTAAACAACTTAAAGCTTCTGTTTGTAGCTGAACATTACTGTACCATGCTCCCTCAACCCGTAAACAAGGTCAATAAGGGACAGTTATTTAGTGTAAAAAGTTTTTAAACTGGAATGCTCAAGTCACATGTATTCCATTCTCCTATATAAAGCTAGTACTTAATAGTTTTATTTATCTTTGAGATAGGCGGGACGCTTTTGCAGCCTACTGATTTTTAGTCTTTAAGGCACTAATCTTCATTTTCCCTTTCAAAGGATTATCCCTACACCCCCTCTCCACCCCCAATATTAATTGGAAAGGGCATGGGATTTCTGTTTGGAATGCAGTATTTTATGAGGCAACCTTTATTCTTGTGTAAAATAATTTATGGGTTATGTTACTCTGTTAAGACGTTATCTAATTCTACAGTTTTGTTCATCTTCCTAGCAGCACGCTATAAGAGCCACAAGCTAGTATAAACGGTATTTCACTCCCTGAAGTCAGTCACCAATAATTCACATCTTGATAAAACTGAAGGGATACTGTATCAAATGCTGATTAAATTAGCCTTCACAATAAGTCATCATGAGATTGTCTACTCAAGACAGTGTTGCCACCAAATAAGAATCTCTGAACGTCTACATTTGGCATATCAAAAAAAAAAAGTCCCACAGCAGCAGCCACTAAAGGAAAATAAGACGGCCATTAGAACCCATGCAGCATATTGCAAGTAATCCTGTTGAAGAGATTTGTATCACCTCTTGCCAAGTATAATGTTGCAAAAATATTCTTTTAAAGTCTTCTTTTAGAGATTTAAAGGGTATTATGAACTGCTGTCTTCCATGAGCAACAGAAAATATTTTGGTTCAGTGAACTACAGGTGTTGGGCTACTAGTCCATTATAAAGTGGCAGGTCCTAAAGTGTGTGATAGTTTCGGTCTTTTGACTTGCAGAATTTGTACAGAAAGAAAATAACAGCCTGCAGACCCAGAACAAGGACAATTCCACCTATGAAACTCGCAGCATCAAACGTAGATTTGCGTGAAGAAGGTGCAGGAGTCACAGTAGCATTTGTACCTGTTAAACACCACATTAGAGTTTGTGAGTACACAATGATCACAATAGTTTTACAGATTTTAGTATTGCCTTCCTTGTATTAAGATTACTAAAAACATCCAAACACCAACAAGAAATCAAAAATAATCAAAAGTAAAGACATGTCAGCAGCTGCATTTAGATTAGTGACACTGAAATTCTGATTAAATACTGTTTGTACAAGACTAGAGCCATAAATAGGTCTGGACCTCAACACTGAGCGAGTCCCAGCTGGACTTTATTTGTACTTCAAAAAGCCAAAGCTTTCCTCCTTTACACAGAAGTACATTATTGATATGCTCACATTCAAAACACGTTTTCCAACCTCCGCTGCTTGCTCCAGTTTTTTGCTTAAATTCAAATTAAATTATTATCTTCCATCTACTGTACTTTACCCCAAGTTATGCTTAAAGAAATCAGCTGCAGCCACAACACACATTTATCTGGAAGTAACAGCCATCTGCTGATGCCTAGTTTTAAAGAGCTTTGCTTCAGGAGAGCTTTTCATGAAATAGCATATTCAGGATGGATGCCGAAATAAAATACTTCAGCTTATTCCCATAACTGTAGCCCAATCATCTTTTTTTTTTTTTTTTTTTAATAGGTATCCCATTATTACACTGCAAGTGAAAAACAAAATACTACCTCCCAAAGATAAGTGAGTTAACAAGTGACTTCCAGCCACACTATTAGAGGCGGCCAGCTGATTTCATTTGACCAACATGTTTCTGACACTTAATACCTCACCAACTAGCTCCATTTCTCAGGGTATTACCTTGCGACATACATACATCATTAACAAAATTAGACGTGCCATAAAGTTAGAAGTGACAACAGCAGAGATACCAATACTACTTCCATGCTGCCACTTGGCAAGTCTTTCAAGATAATGCTTTTAAGGTGACACTAATTTCTAAGTATTTTATGTTTTAATTATGCTAGTAGTAGCAGTTACCTGGAATACTGGTTGTTCTGGCAGCTGAAGTAATGGCAGTTGTAGGTAGAGGAGCATGTGTCGGTACATTGGTCGTGTTAGCTGTTTGAGAGAAGACAGTACGTACATACCATAAGCTTCAAGAGCACAGTTTGCAAGCACTGAAATTCTCATGTAAATGATTTGTCTTGTTTTGCTTACACAAGGATAAGCTTTGACCTCAGACTGTACCCCACACAATTTAGATGTTCAGGTGCATGGCATTAAGCCACATTTCTGCAATAAGGATTTGTTTTAAACTTGCATACCATTGTTATCCAAGTATTTCAAGGTTCTCCACAGATCAGACAGTGATTCCTCATTCAGACAAAACCACTTTTCTTTCAAGCACTAATATAAATGCTGGTATTTGAACAAGAATCAAGACAGCTACTTCAAGACAACTGAGAATCTGCATCAAGGCAAAGGACTTTCATTAAACAGCCCTCAGAATCAGTATTTATTGCACTAAAAAAGTACTTAATGTAATATTGCTAGATGGGAGATTAAACACTTACAGGATAGCAAAAACTTCCTCTTTCTCCCCCTGTCCCCAAAACGCTAATTGTGAATGACATCATTGGAATAAGCAGTCAGTCACCTGTAGCTATACTGTCTCCCAAAAGCTATTCCGTTATCAAATCAAAACACTGGCTTTCTTTAGTGGAAATGACTAATCTAATTCAAACAATTACCACTGAGCTAATTCTTAATTATATTGGAAAGAAGCGTTTTCTCTGTTAGTTTTATAAAGTTTACTTCTTCCAAACCTTGGGACCATTTATGTATTCCACACGTCAGATGTTTAGCAGTCATGCTACTACAGTGATCTGTGGAAAAAGCCCTTGTCCTTTATTTTATTCACCAGTTCCTAGTTTACTGCCATTCTACCTTCAGTGATACTATATTACCTATAGTAGTATATGCCGTGGTAGTATTGGAAGACGCCGTGGTAGTATTGGAAGACGCCGTGGTAGTATTGGAAGACGCCGTGGTAGTATTGGAAAGTGGTGTAGCAGTACTGGCAAGAGGAACAACTGTAGGAGCTATTAAAGAACAAAGAGTTACGTTAAAGAGATTAATGACAGTATTTAACTAAAAAAGAAAACCAAAACAGAACAGCAGCAGGCTGAGTTTTAGGGAATTCATACAGCACCAAATTCTATTGTAGCTTTGGTTTGAAATTACAAAGCCGTTAAATGTTCAATCCACCACACTAACAGCAAAAGTTGCACGAGTGAATACTTGAAAAACTTTGTCACAGGCAGCCCATTCAAGCCAGTGTTAAACTGGCAACTCAAGATCCCTCAAAGCAAACAGAAGGCAGAAGAGTCCTATCGTACAAGCATAAACTGTGCATGCTTTACACAACAGGAAACTAGGTATTCAGTACTGCTTCACAACCTCACTGCAACTACAACTGAACCTGACCTACCAAGTTCAACTAGAAATCAGAGCACTTAGACAACTGAAGCAATATGGGGAGGAAAACCAAGACATCCTCAAGAATATGAAAGTTTAGCTAAAGCTTTCTGTTCTGAGAGCTGTTGCTGGTTGTAGGTACTCTCAGCTTCAGTATGTGCTGTAAAAAGAACTGTGAAGCCTTCTGCAACTTACTGTATTAACTGACTTAATGACACACGGACAGCTTATCTAAAGGGTTGCTTAATCATACAGTGGTACATCAGCAAGCTTTCTGCTGAAACACCGTTATCTCCAGAAGCCTTTAACGCTCAAGGTCATTTAAATGTGGTTATTTACATCTTGAAACAATTCAGCATGCTGGGAAACCAGAGCTGACTGTTTCTAGAGAAATAGGCTAGATCTATCAGAATCTACATTCTCTCAGGTTCCACTTGCATCAAGTTGGTTTAGGTCCACCTTAACGTTTTTCCAGGTCAATCCCCAAATGTAGTGCTGAGCTATGACACTGTAAGAGCTAATAAGGTATATAGGTTCCTCTCACACCAACAAAGATCTTCTACTAAAGGTGACAATTAAGTTTCCTTGAATATGCAGAAGCGAAAACACAACCACCCAAGAACGACACTACAAGTTTAACAGGAACGGATTGTAGAAATTTCACTCTTAGATACAGAACAAGGTGTTGTAACAGCATGCTTTCTTTGCAAAGCACTGAAAAGTGGTACTTTCAACACTCGTGATTAGGAAGTGACTGTTAGCACAGAAGTCCAAGTCAAGTGGAATTATTTCTGACTGGCTGCCACCACCACAGGACAGCCCATAACAGCATGGAAGCTTCATCTCCGTTGGTGTGAGCCAGCCTCTTTAGCAGCACTGTTGAACTCATCTAGACAAGAGTATTAAGAATTTTTGTTTGCTGTTCTAGATCTTAAAACCAGAAAAACCTATTTTAAAGTCCATTTCTTGTCAGCTTTCAGAAAAACTAAAATTGGGGGGCTTTCATAAAAGTGAAATTCAAGATTTAATCTACATTATTCATATCCTGCAAATCTGCTTTGCACAGCAATCACAAATCAATGAAAAGACTGAAGTAGATAAGCAACCGAGCACGTTCCTAGCATGAAGGATTTACCTTACGCAGTTCTATAACCCAGACCCTGCACTTCAGGACTGCATGAAGAGCTGTGCCAGTTAACAATTAAAACTAGAAGGTTAGTAAGTTTTTCCTATTTACTGCATCTCAGAATAAGCAATGGACTTAGCAGGTGAGTTTTTTTGTTGAATATGAAGCTTACTGTCTTGAGGATACTGACAAATTCCCTAGGATATGCTATATCTAATAGGAAATGTCACCCATTTTAATCTAATCTAAGAAACCAAGGCAGTAGCCAGAGACATGCGTCTAGTAAAATATGTCAGGCTTCTTGAAACAGCAACAGTAAGCAGTTAACTGAATGCACAACAAAACTGTGTATTTTAGTGTCGCACATCATAGGTTTAAACTGGAAGCAAAGGGCTTATTTACACACTTGTACATGCTTATGTAAATTCTAGAAGGCATATTAACAAAGGTCAACAGATAAAGGAGTTTTAAATGCAACTGCTTCACATTAAACAATGTGAAAACTGAATATCTAAATACTTACAAGAACACTGTTTTTCAGCTGTACAGTTGGGATATTTCAAAGCTAGTTCTGTTTCATTTACACACAGGTTTTCTGTCACAAAAGAAGAGACAAGAATATTTACAGCAGCAGAACTTTAAAGTGTTTGAGACATTGTTCCTAAATACTAATAAACTGTTCATAGGAAAAATTAAACACCATCTTCTAGCCAGGATAACATTAAAGCCACTTCAATATGCAGGACTTCAATATTATATTAATAATTAGAAATTACAAAGTTGTATTTTCTTTCATTATAGTTTACCACTTATGGTTACTCAACACTTGAGCAATACTTACACATGGTTATGCAGCATTTTGCTGTAACAGTATAGCTTGGTATTTTTTCTTCATAGCCTATAAAATTAGGCAGTGTTTCTACTATTTGTGGCATTTTTCAAGTTAAGCATTTTGCATCTCTGTGGTAGCATCATAAAAAAAAAAATCTTATTGTCTTAAAAAAATTCTACATGCAAGCAAAACTTAGTTCCAGCTTTTCAAGCAGATCCTTGACCTTGAAATTGTTGAAGACATCAGTTTCTTATTCTCTGCCTGCACACCTTTCTTGCTTGACTCAGATTTCAACCTGCCTCTCAAAGAAGTAACACAGATCTCTTAGGTGTTTGCAGTATGTGCCTGTTGGTCAGACAATGCATGCAGAGTTTAGAAAAAGAGCTTCTTGAAGGACAGTCTTGTACTGGACAAGTTACATCCAAATTTTTTTTCATTGGTTACGAAGCATCTTAGCCTTCATATATAACCTTTCCTGGTCATCTACAATCAAGTGCTACAAAATCACCATTATAGTCAAGCCATTCTCTCCTCTTACTCCGTTTCCAACTTCACATAACAAGTACAAATAATCCACCTGAGGACTACTTATGTAGTCTTTGTACGACTTTGTCAACAGCAACTTCATCTCCTCCAGGACTGAGTACCAGAGGTCACCTAAATGTAGTTACGCCCAGCTCTCCTACAATGGGAAAAACAATGCTCTGAATGAGACCAGCTAATGCTTTGGCTCTGTCGTTTCCCTTCAGTGTGTTGCAATTCTTAGTTTTAGGAACACTACTCTTAACTAATCTTATTTAATGGACTCCTCTCCCTTATTGCACTGCAGTTCAGGAGTAGTGGTTGTGACCAGGTCTGTGACAAAACCTCAAAAGGGACTGAAGCACAGGGATGTGCCTGCATGTCAGAATCCACTCATGACTCCTTAACAGCGAACACAAGTGACTGGTTTGTTCGAAAAACATTGTGAACCATCTGGAAAACATTAGCTTATTAACAGCACAGATTTACATCAGAAGCCTTAAAAATCTGGGATTATTTTGAACGTGTTCAGCTGTCTCCACATAAGAACTTGAAATGTTTAACAACAGACACAACTTATGAGTTAATGCTCCATTAGGTTATCAAACAGAACGGTATATTTGTGTAATGAACACCAATACAGACAAAGTAGGCCTAGTTGGGTTTAAGGTTCTGCATAGCATAGTAAGAATCTGCACTGTGTAGTCCTCCTTACCTCCACATCTGATCCACTTGCAGCCTGTTACATTTGCGTCATTAATACACGAACTGCAGTTAGAAAGGTTTTCACAGATGCCTAAAAAAAAGCATTGATTAGGACAAAATCACCACCATCCAAAGAGCAACTTCACCCACAGAAACAACTCTCAGATCTGTATCTTCCCATATGTACATCACCCGGGTTAAGGCACAATCCTTCTCACTGAACTAACTACAACTGAAAGCTACAACTTAGGAATGCATTTGACAAGACAGGAATACATTTCCCTCCAGACAGTACCGATACTCTGAAATCAGACCCCACATGTACACCAAGATTATGCCTCATGCAACCTCTAACTATAGTAAACTAGTTTAAACTTCTAGTGAAGTTACCAAAGTCCACCAAATTAATTTTGCAGAAGTTCATTGAAACCTCAGATGGCAAGAGCTTTGTTCCTTTTGATTACATTTCTCCTTTAGGTAATACAGCTAGCTATAAACAACCCTACAGTAGAAAGCAACTGAAGTATGGGAAATAAAGACAAGAACCTAGAGGACTTCATATACAAATGCATATAAAGGAGAGCAGAAAGAAAGTCAATTTATTCATATTTTGATCACAGCAGAAGCCAGCAACCTAAGCAGTCCAGCTGCTTTTTTATGTCAATCTCAGTCAAACATTGTTGCCTCAAAACCACAATGACAACACATCCACTATCTGAATCAAAGATGATCTTCTCCCAGTCTACAATTTTACTGCATTAGTTTTAATTAAGACTTACTCATACAGCCATCATACTCAGAAAACCCACATACAACCCACAACTCCTTATGCCGCATACTCTCTAGCACATTTCACATCATATCCACCTACTCCGGGCACCCTTGGATGACCTTTCACTTTTCTCCGCTCTGCTCCCCAGTGAAGGGAATGCTGCTATTCACAGACCTTTGGCAATCAGCATGGTAATTCACATCTCAAGATAACAACTACAAATGCATTAACTAACTTCAGCACTCTCCTAATTCGAATCAAGCCTGAATCAACTTGGCCTTTCTCTCAGTTATGGTAGGATCAGGCTAGAAATACCGGCGCCATTTCTTCACTTTCAAGAAACGTAAGATATGAAAAGACCTCTGTCGGTTTGCATCAGTGAGGTATGCAACAGATTTGCCCTGTTCCCTTCAGAAGCAAGGCACTTAAACCACTTCAAGAGCTATATGACAGTTTCTGGATAACAGATTTCAGGGGGAAAAAAGTAATTTATTATTCTGGGTATGCATCTGAAGAACGATCACAGCACACACAACACTCACTTCTGATGAATGAACAACATTCACTTTTGTAAATTCCTCACTGGTACACAGAAAATTTAGCACAGAACATCTGTGGAGACAGGAGGACAGTCAGTGCAGCCAGCTAATACCAGGCACACTAGGACTTCTAGTTTACTTTCAAAACAGCTTTCCTAGACTAGCATGGAGGAGGAACAGATTTGCAAGAGTAAAGGATCAGGAGACGTTTTTATCACAGCAAAAGGTTTCAAGAATGAGCTGTTAGCTTCAGAATCAGCGGCAGGGTGTCAGATGTGCTCCCAACGCTACTCCTGTGAAAGGCTCTCTTAGGGTCTTTCTACGGGATAACAGAAAGCTCCCTAGCTCTCCCCATCATCAGATGCCTGCTCTTCACTGAAAAAAATGACTCTGGTACCATGAACTCAGCTCTTAAGCGTAGGCAAGCTCACGTCTTCTCCCAAGATAAACCTGTCTGTTGTACTGGCTCTTACACAGGGTAAATTCGGATATTCCCCTTATACTTGAGGAGGAAACCTGGAAACACTAACAGAAGTCTGTCCTGCTGGACCAACACTGCCCTCTCCCGCCGCACCGGAGAGGCGGTTAACCTCTCACTCTTGGCAGTCCTCAAGCAGTTCACGGTTCCCATAGGGTGCCCGATATTGGCCTCCATCACGTCGGCGGCGGTAGGGCTGAAGAGGAAATCTAAAAGGGCTGAAGCAGAGGTAAGGGCGCAGCTTCACACTTAGCTGCACCCAGCGCCATTACGCAACGCGGCCAGAAAACATTAAAAGTACTTCCAGAACAACTTCTTCCCTTAGCATTTTGGGACATGCGGCACATTTTGTGGTTCCTAGCCATATAAACGCTTTAGCAAATAGCTCACAGAGCCAGAAAGACGAGGCAAAGCCACAGGCTAACATCAGGATTACGAATAACCGGCAGCAGGGACAGAACAACAGTGCTTGAATAAGTAACTGCCGCAGTTTGACCTGTACTAAGTTTGCAAGAAACGAACACGCCGGGTACGTTTTCCTGGACGCAAAGCTACCCGCTCCCAGTCATCTGCTGCACACGAAGGGGGATACTGGAGGCGGCGTCACGCCGTGCTAACGGATTTCACACCACACGCACCCGAACGCTCCACAGCGAGGAGCAAAACGAAAGCGAGAAGAGAGGAACCAGAGAGAAGCGGGCGAAAAGCTCGGCGGGCTGCGGCCAAGGCGCCGAGGGAGGCAGCGCTGCCGCCGCGCGGAAGCGGTGGCGGGCGAGCT